ACTATCAGTACAAAGAGGTGTCGTAGATCGTATAGTTTCAATAACTGTCGTCGCTTTAACAAACACGTATGTACATCGATCTGACGCCCACACGAATAATATTGATACATAAATGGTTTACTTGAGAACTCTCTATAACCAGATTGTTTAAATAACAAAGAGAATTGAACTTATGGTACATAAAGGAAACTAAGTCAGTGGTAGCCTAGTGGTCAAGAGGCCCGCCTCTCATGTATGAGAGTGCGGGTTCGATTCTGGCAAGTACCAATGTGATTTTTCCGAGTCATATTTACTTTCTAAGAGTATTTAGACATCACTGATTAATCCATTCCCAAAAGAGGGTTGATGTCAGGCAGGCGGCCGGTCGTAAAAACAAATAGCCAAAACTATTCACAATATGTAAGGCAGACTCTGGCTAAAGCTGGAAAATTGCCAGGTAGAAGAAGTACATATAGGAAACTATTAGGGGAAAAAAAACTTTTCAGACCTCTATAAGAATAAAAAGTGAAGCTAAAATAAACTCTAATAATGTAATTTTAAGGTACAATTTATAAATCAAGTGTTGAATTAAATAAATTTCTTATTTAACAAATCGTCGAGAGTATGAAAAGAATATCACGTCTTGATTATGTCTTCGTAAATTTATATTAAACAAATTAATATTTAAGAAAAAAATAAGTAATAATTTTTTTCATATAATAAAAAAAAAACCTCCAAAGAACTAAAAGATCACTTCTAAAGTACAGTTCCAATTTTCATTGTTCGTAAGCCATAAGTAAAAGGTATAAGACATGGTTCAGCATCTCGTAAATACATCCGCCATTTTTAATTAAATTAAAATAGAATGATGGAATACTTTACAATATTTATTTAAAATATTATTAAAGTGATTATCCGTTATCCAGTAGGTATAAATTTAAAACATATTTCGCACGGATTCCCCGTACAATACAAGATAACCATCCATCAATGTCGCGTTGACAAAGGCTCGTCCTACACTGATATATTACATAAAATAAAACGAAATCACAAGTGATTCTCGATATTATTGAATACGATAAATAAACATTACGTTATGTCACTAGTTTTTGCACGCGACTTCGTCCATAATAACACATGTATAGCTGACCGTGCTAACTCTATTCCGACATAGAAGCCGTAAATAACAAGATATTTGAATTCATTAAGTTTTTTTTTTTGTATAGAACAGAATTAAATATCCTATGTCCGTCTCCTGGTTCTAAGATATCTCCGCACCAATCTTTAATAATATCCCTACGTTCTCAAGTTTTTAATAGTGTAACTAACACAACTTTATATATATAAATTTTTACAAAGAAATAGCATTTGTTGAGCAAAAATTATTTAAACGATACAGTTTCATTGTTGTAAAACAAAACATTAATTGGTCAGGTGCAGTTCGACGATTATACAAACAACATTCGAAACCTCATTTCATATTTCACAATGTACATTCAAACAACGCGAACTCACAATTCATATATTAAACAAATGAACATTAGAAAACTGAGTTTAATTAGGCTAGTTTCACATAAACCGTGCTATACGAAAAAAATATCATATGTTATATAAAGTTACATATAATGTGAAAAACCCTCAGCTTTGTTTAAGAAGTTCCTATCTAGATACAAGAGGGTGTTTTGTTAACGAGTGCATGCACGTGTTGTATGCACGTGTACGACATCTGTAAAAATAAACAGATTTAAATATGCCTAATTATAATATAAACTACGACATATATTAACCAGTTTTTTTAAATATAAACATATTTCAAACATAAACTACGACATGGCTTGGTATATTGTAATCATCACTGTTAAATTTAAGAAACCGTTTAAAAATTATATTTCGCTTCAATGAAATTCTTAATGTACTCGCAAGTTCAGAAACAAATTACAAGACTGCGTTGTATAAATAGGTGGTCTTAATTGGAGCGAATTATTTAGCTTGAATTAAATCTAAAATATAATTTAAATTAAATCGGAAACATCAAATTTAAATTATATCGAGAAAATCGTAAGAATTTGCTTCTATATATTGGTACTCAATGTTCATATATCATTCTTTAAAGTTAAGACTTGTACGCTTCTCCAATAACTTACTTCAAATTGTAAAATATGATTTATGTAACAACTGAAATTTTTAATAAAAATATATATAAAATTTTCATTATTTACGGACGTAATATTAACAACTTGCATACAAATGAAATGTAGAACCAGCAATTCCACAGATAAAAAACACTTTGGACGAATGTCATAAAATTGAAATGTAATATGACAGTAGAAATCTCTAACTTCTATAGAGTATAAATTAATTTCTTTATACATAGTATTCAAAGAACATGAAATGATTATTATTTAAGAAGCTACAGCTCTTTCTCAATTTATTTCTAATATCTAAATAACATTTAAAATTACACGGTTTTCTCTAAAACAAATTTCGTCAATCATTAAGTAGAACAGATGTAAATTTGTGTGAGTTATCAAATCAGACATGTAACGAGACCACAGATAACTTATTTAGAAATCAAAATCAATGACGCTCAATAAGTCTAAAAAAACAATAGCTTGTTTATAGTTCTGTTATTTATGTTTATTTATTAACATTATTATTCGTCCAACAAATAAATATATGACATTGGCAGAATATTCCACGATTCCATTGCGAATTACAAAAAAGTAATAATAATTTATAATCTGTTATAGAATATATTAGTAAAAATCATATTTACTATATAAAGTTTATAATTGTTATTGTATTCAAAGTAATACGAATCACTTTCAAACAGTCAGGTAAAATTTCAGATACAATGGTTGTAGCGTTGACAAATGGAAAGAGCTTTTGTTAACAGCTTGAAATGACACAAGCAGGTGTTCCCTACATGGATGTATACTAAATGATTCACAATAAAATAAAAGGAAGGTTTTTTATTGATTACATATATTTATATGTATAAAAGGACTAAGGGATAGATTTTGCTTTGTTTATTTCGAAATTGTGTTACCATATTTAAATTTCGAACACTGAATAACATTCATGTTCGAAATTTAAATATATTATAAGCTATTATGTCGTGTTATGTGTGTGTATCTATGTGTGTGTGAGTGCATTTTTTAAAATTAAGAATCGAGACTTATAAACACGCAAACCAGGCCATGGAAATATTATGTTATACCTATGAAGCTGTATCTCAGCATCAAACGAGTAAGATAACAAAATGATGACGTGATCGGAAATATAAGTTAATTTCAAAACGTAACTTAAACGGACCGTTAAGATAAAACCCGCGAGGGATGTCCTCCGGGAATCGGGTTTTAGATGAAGCAGCCTTTCCTAATCTGCCCGTATTAATTTTCTTTTCCGTATTCCAACATTCAAACTTGGAATTGATTAAGAAAAGTCCACAAAAATTTTATACTACTAGAATTGCTTAAATAAAAAGCTCTATTTTACTTATGTTTTCCTGAATATTAAATGTATGACAATATATTTTTTCCTAAGTTAAAAACTTATGGAATAAAAATAGATTATTAAAATTTTAATAAAAAGGCACAAAAAATATTTCGATGTACGAGTATTTATCACCTAAAATAAAAAGCGACAGATGCACATACGAAACTGGTGTTGCCACTTCCATAACCCGTTATATTAAAACACAAATAACTCATTTTCACTTGGCAACATTTATAAGAGGTTCCTCTGATAAGTTTCAATGTACACAAACTGAAGAACAAGTGACAGACTTTGAAGTGTATATATCGATCTCAAACTTCATAGATACGTCACTATAAATAAATATTATAGAATTCGAGCAAACATGTCAGATTGTTTAAACAAGGAATCTATCAGCGGTGAAGCTTGTGTAAACAAAAACTATCGATAAATATATATCTGTCATAGATACAGCACTAATAAGATACAACGGATATACCTTGAGCATTATTCACTACCTTTAATACGAGAACGAATATTTAATACTGACTTATACTTACAGTTACAATTATATACTAGTAAATTATTTAAGTTATAAATAGTTCTAGTGATTTTTATATTAAAAAAAATTGTCATTATTATGATTTTGAAACTACTACATGTTTTTATAATACATTTCACTCTCAATTTAGGCTACTTCCTATTGAACGTCACGAGCAAGTGAGATGATACGTCATTTTTACGTCACCTATAGCTATTATAACTCGTATTAAGGATATAATCTATATAAGTATGTATTCAGTCAAAGCTGTCAAGTAAACATCCCTCACATATGATCTAGTTCACGAGCTACCTGTTCCAGATTGTGTCGTATTTCAAGAGCCGTCTAAATCCACTTCAAATATCAGTTAATTCAAACTCTTTTATACAACCGATTGGATGTCACCAACACTAAACGAATGTCTATCGAATCGACTATTTTTACGTATTTTCAATCCATATTAAGTACATATGTACGTAATTTCATTTATTTTACAAAAAAAATATGACTTTAATTAATCTTATTATAAATTTCAAGCAAACAGTGTCGAATATTAAATACATCCACGTAATAAATTGAGTCAATTTAATATTTAAATATTAATTTGACTTATCCGACATGACAACTTACGTTGAATTCTATTAGCTGCTTGAAGGATGAATATTAATTAATTCATAAATAAATATATTTATATATCTATTTCTGTAACCATTTATTATATTTAAGTCAAAATTAAAATTCCATTAATACGCTCATAAATTTCAAAGTGTAGTCATAACTAACAGCTTACATATTAGAAGATGAAACTCACTGAATAACAAATGGAAAACGCCATTAAGTTACTTCGACCTATTTGGACCTAACCTAGTTCGGTCCCGCAATTTTCAGCCATTAATGAGTTCCACTGTTCCAAAAGCAAAAGTAAAGCACTAGATTCTTTTGGTCATTTAACTAGCTTTGTGTAAAAAAAGCGCTTAAAATCATTAAAAAGCGCTTCACTCACCCGTATATAGCGGCCGCGCCAGCAATAGCGCCTCCACACTGCGCCGCTATGTAAAGCGCTGTCCGCAAAGGAGACACGCGCCGACGCACGCATAGCGCCACGGACACGCACGGGTTTATGTGGGCTCCTGTTGACCAAATATATGATGTAAAATATATATTAATCTTTTATACATATAATTTTCTTATTGGTGGTTAACTGGATGTGATTTTTTAGATATATTATTTTTTATTTAAATGAAACTAATATTTTTGGGATATACTATTCGTGCTATATTTTTGTTTCGTCTACTTTTTAGCAACCGTGATCACGGGCAGACGAGATTTGAATGCTTGTCAGTTGGTCTTGTTATTCATCATCTACCTTTTTGAAAGCCTTTCATATTATATGTATGTCTTTAATATGTTTTAATTACATAGGGTTTTTATAAATCGACATAGCTTTACGAATAGATTAAATTAGAACAAGTCTAAAATCTAAACAATAGAATAGAAGAACACTGAAAATGTTGCCAAAAACTCCATAGAAACATTACTCTTTGTTCAATGAAAATTAAGTTGTGATACAAAAAAATATACTGTGACTTCATTAATTGTCTTTTTTGTACTAAAAATGTTTTATTAACTTCATTCCCCTATCTCAAGTATGTCAATTTCAACCCAAGTATATCAGAAATTTCATCTTGACTTGTAAATGCACTTGACACTAAATTGCATAGAATACAAAGATATTTGCATATTCCTTGAATATTTGAAACAGGACCCGGGAGTTGTTGAAATGAGCAACAAATATTACATTCACTTCCAAATAACTGTTAATATACTGCACTGTTTTGTATATTATGTATTATTATATGGTAATTTTATAAGTGTAAGCGAAGTAAAAAGGTTAAAAAAAGATTCATCATTCATTAATAATACAATTATTTTTTCAGTTTCGAGAAACAATTAAACGAAAATTTTAATGTTGTGATGGTTTTAAAAACATAACATCCGTCATTAATTTAAATAAAATTTTCAGTTTTTTTTTCATAATTTTTAAAAAAGCTAAATATTTATGAAAGATCTTTTAAAATATTGGGCGTGCGTCTTTACATGAAAGTTTAAACAATACCTATGTCTGAATTAATTATATTATCATCATAATACAGAACGAAAATGAATGAAAACAGAATAATGAAGACTTCTTTGTTGTACTTTCGTCATTCATTCATCCATTCGTTCTTTCCCCATCCCTACGGGGAGCAAACGTCAAGACTCTTTAAATATATCACAACATAGTACATTTAAAACAGACTACAAAATACAAGCTAATTAACTAACTCCAATGAACAATGCAGCAACAGTAAATAAAAATTAAAACTGTATTTGTTTAATAAAAAATAATTGCGAACCACTGCAGTGCTACAAAACTAAATAAAACATACAAAGAGCAATCCCGAGGGTAAACGGAATTTCAACTTTTCGTACCTAATGCATATAAACTTGAGATATGCAAATACATTCATATTAACATAAACACGACGGAAATGTCAGAAAACTTGAGTTCTAAGAAAAGCGAAACACTTCAAGAGCGCGCCGTCTTGAAGAACATATTCAAAGGTATTTACAGAGTTAAAGAATTATATAATTTTATTAATATAAAAAAAATCTATTGGTATACTGCAATTTGCAGAAAAGAACCGTTAAATAATGCATAATTACAAAACTGTACTTTTATAGTGATGTACCGCGACAATTATCTGCAATTTGCTTCAACGATTTACTAAAAACTTTTATTCTCCCGTTTACGGCTGTGCCAACAGTTAACGATTTTACGAATCTTTAGCTACAAGAATACGTTAATTACGGTGAGGGACATGGATATTTACGTGTACGTCTCACTCACGTCGTACACCGTAGATAACCGCACTGCGACTAATACAATTTATTTTAACATTATATAAGATACGGTAAGTATGAAAAATTTTCTAGCGATATTTATCCGATGACGGATCGCATTGTCTATATATTTATTATCTGTGGTCATAAAAAAATATAAGTGGAAATCCCTTTAAAAAAACAGAATTATATAAAACATGAGGAAATTTCTACTATTATTACGCGAAAAAGACGTTTTCAAATATATATATAACCTACTTTTAAACCAGAATATTGAAGTATGATGAATATGATCTGTATTATTTTATACGAAAAAGTTTAAACGGATAATTTATTTACATTTATTGAATTTTCACTTGCTTTAGCTTTGCTTCCATTACAAACTTTTCTTATTTACATAAAGAAATTGACTTTTGGGTAACCGCCAATAAATTGAAAGATTTGACAATAGCGTTCATTAAAAATAAAAATAGTGCAACAGACTCTAGGGTATTAAGAATCCATATTAAATATTAATAATAATTTTTAAATATTCTTTTCAAATAAAGCAAGCACATATATTTGTATAAATAATTCCTTATATATATAATTCCATAATATTCTTAAGTCTCTTATTGATTTTACATCTTAAAATAGGAATACAAAATTAGTTCACATTAAAGCGTCTGTCCACAGTGGATATATTTAAAATTTATTACCGCTGTTAGGGTTGACACTCCGATATACGCCACTTTTCAAACACAAATAACTTATAACTTCAACTAATCAATCGAATTCTATATTAAAATATATAATAACTATCGTCAACTTCAATTGTTAGATAGAATAGATTTGATCAAATTCCTTTTAAATTATATTATTTAATATGCGTTTAATCCCATTTCACACTTCCTATATTATATCTCCCTTAAACTGCGATGTGCCAACCCTGGCTATAAAGTCCGAATTAGCGTTATTGTTAAGATGGACACGCGTCATTGTAATGACATAATTTAAAATGTCATTGTGTCCGCCATTATAAAGTTATGAAATATTAAAGGGTGAAGGGCGGACGGCGGACACGTGTGAAGATTAAAACGGCTATTATCCTACAATTTGATATAAATTCATATGTTTTAATTGTATCATAAACATAGCTAAAGAAAAAATATTAGAAATTAATTTATTTTTCTTATCAAACGAGGTAATTGTAATATATCTTTTAGAGGTCTCAGTAATATTATAACATAATGCGAAACGAGATTAATACCAAGTCTTGAACGGTTGCTTTTTGAGAGTACTTAAAAAAAAAACGAGAAAAACATCTGCCTGTTACGATACGATCTCTGCCTTTAATACATGAAGAATAAATACAATGACATTACGATGACTTAAAATAAAACCATACTTGCGCAGCTGTGACTGACTTTAATAATTTTAATGATTAAAATTGAATACAAGATTTCACTACTGTCAAAAACAGATGCAGGCAAACAATTCATTAAAATTGTCTAGTTTTGAAACAAAAGCCCACTTAACGGATGAAACCTGTTTCAAAGAGATTAACAGAAACTACTTAGTTAATTACTCACACTTGTAAAACGCCAGAAAGCATTCGCGTAATTTTAAGTGAGAATTTCATTTAATTATAAAACATTGAACAAAAATATCTCATTCGTCAGATATCTTACATATTATGCCAGGTTAATTTCTTATTGAACGCACTGCTAGAAAAATGCGTATAAAAACCGAATATAAAATCATATATATATGTATATAATTACTTATTTTAAGACAGCTATTATTCAAACTATAATAATAGTGTGACATTGTCACAGCCGGCTAGTTTACAACCCTCGGCTCGGGATAACAAAAAACACAGCAGGTAACACACGTGAGCGCTTTCAATACTTTTTTCTGCGAAACCTTATTCTGAGGAAATGTTTTTTTTTATATCCTATATCCAAACTTTGAGATTATTTATTTTTTAATGTGTATTATAGCAAAACTTTTTGGTCATGAATATGATATTTAACTTGTTTTTTGAGTATTCATATAACCGGATTGTATCTCACCAGATATATGAGCGAAACATAATGTTAATGTAGCTATGGCGCAGCCGGATGCGAGTGCGTTGGCGAGGAGCACAGCGGAGGCCGAGGCGCCCACACCAGCCCCGCCGGCCGCTCCACACACGATGAACACATACAGGAAGGACGCAGCACACTCGGCCACCACAGCCTTCCACAACGACAGAGTCCGCACTTCAAGCCTCGCCGGCACACGACCGGCCAGCATGTTGTCACTCTGAGTAGCATCCCGACGTAAACACTCCAACTTATCGAACAACGTTATAATATGATGTTCCAGACTGTTGTCATCTATATTAAATGTCTGTTCCCCCATTTTGTATTTTTAATGATTAAAAAACACACGCCATTTTATTGAAATAACTAAAAACTACACGGATACGAATTTCGCGCGCTATTTACGTGTTCATAGACACCCACGCGCCGTAAAGTTTCGGTCCGAAGTGGTTCGCACTTCGCAACTGAATGAATGACTTAACGCGGCCGGGAGCGGGCCGGCGGGGCGCCGCACATGTCCCGCCACTTGTTACGCCCCCGCCCCGGGACCTGCGAGGGTGCACCGCGTACTATATACTCTGTGTAATGTATTACACTATACTAACAGAATCACCAACTCGCCGCACCACGGACGATACAATAGCATTTAATTATATATTACATTATCATATGTTACATTTTATGTGATTTTTACGTAAGCAACTACCGATTTTTTAACTAAAAACGACAAAAATTATAAATAGAAGTGCTTATACATAGTTTTGGAAACTTACCGCTTTTACTCATCTAACTCAGTCATAGCGCTCTGAACAAAGTTTTAATGGGACCAATTAATAGACGACGGATCACATTAAATGTGGAATATAATAAATAATCTAAAGGAGATGAAATAAACAGCTTTCATTCATATATTAGTTACACCTTTTTTTTTGAGGTCGGCTAAATACGACACCAGGTGCAGAGAAACCTGATTGTCTATTTTGCATAAAATACATGCACCGTTTATACTAACAGGACCGAACCTGTTCTCTATACTTATTTGTTGATCGAAATGAATGATATTGATTAACTATATGATATTTAACAACTAATTTAGGTTTAGGTAGTTTGTTTTCGGATGTTTTTTTTTCATTCTAAAATAAATTACAAGTAAAGTCAGTTGCTCAGCACTAATTGACTAGTCGTTGATACCGTATAAGAAGGGTTTAAGGGTATTAACAGTGTATTAATTTATAAATAGTTGATTTGTTTATTAACAGTTGCTTAATTTATTAACAGTGGATTAATTTATTAACGATAATAAGGAAAGTTAGAGAATGATAATTAATAATTGAGACTCGACATTAGAAGAGGCACATTGTAGATCAGCAGCTAAGGTGAAAGATCTTTTTGCCATTCTCATAGCGACGTGTGGTCTTTCAAATCCTCAGATATTATGGGAAAAGTACCACAATGATATGTCTGACGATATTTTGCACAGACTACAACAAAGTAATCCCAATGTCACATATTATGATTTAGTATATAACGAGGCGCTAACTAAGATTCAAGACCAGGTGATGGCTATATCTGGGAAGACATTATCAGATTTTGGAATGCACCGGCCACAAGAAATCGGAGAAGTCAATAGTGATTTAATAAGAGAACTGGACTACAATGTCTCTTCTTTGCAGCACCAAATATCAGAGTCTGTTCCTCGATTGGACACGGAAAAAAAATTAGTTTATGATATTGTTGTGCAAAGAATCGATAATGGTGAGGGCGGATTATTTTTCTTAGATGCGCAAGGAGGCACTAGGAAAACTTTTCAATAAATTTTCTTTTAACCCAAATCCGAAAAGACAAAGGAATAGCTGTTGCCGTAGCTTCCTCTGGGATTGCGGCGACGCTGCTCGATGGAGGCCGCATGGCACATTCAGTACTAAAACTGCCATTAAATTTACCTCATGAGGAAATTCCAGTTTGTAACATTACAAAAAACAGCTATCGTGGCCGAATTAAATCAAGAATTTTGTAATGCTGTTCACAGCTTGGGAGATCTTAAAAACAACGTCTATTGGGGTTTGGAATATAACATAAGGAATAGAGAGTGGCTGTGTGAAAGAGCAATATTAGCACCGACCAATGGAATCGTGGAACAGAACTATGAACGAACGCTGTCAGTTGTCACATGTGCAAGGCGATGTTGTCGAATATTTGTCAGTAGATATTGTCATGGACAGAGAACAGGTGACATCTTATCCTACAGATTACAGAGTTTCCCAACTCTTTAGAGCTGTCAGGAGTGCCGTCTCAAAGGCTGAGACTGAAAGTTGGGGTTCCAGTTTTGTTAATGAGAAACCTCGAAGCACCGAGACTATGCAACGGGACTCGTTTGCAAATTACGCAGCTCGGACGCAATATTATTAGAGCAATTATAATAGAAGGAATAGCTATAGATGAAGAAGTTTTAATTCCCCGCCTACCCATGATCCCTACAGATTCAACTTTTCAGTTTAAAAGAATCCAGTTTCTAGTCAAACCCGAATACACAATGACAACAAAGCGCAAGGGCAAACACTTAAAGTAGCAGGTGTCCATTTAGAGAAAAACTGTTTTTCGCATGGCCAACTGTACGTGGCCTGCTCGCAAGTGTCGAGTCCAAACAATCTCCACATTTTAACAAATAATAAGCAAACAGCAAACGTTGTGTACAAAAATGTTTTAAATTCGGTCATTTTAAAATATTTTTCTACACAACGTGACGCTGGCCCCGGGAAGTGTCTCCTGGACATAAAGGAACCAATAAATTTTCCTGGGAACTTTCTGCCACTTAATGGAATACATACCTTATACTTATTACCTACTGTAAACAGATATTTCTTATTTGTTTTAAACATATCTACTCTCTTTTAACCAAATGCTATACCCAAATCTATACCGTTCCTTTATTATAATCCTTAATATTCAAATAAATTTACTATAACTGTGTAAATGTTTGTTTCACGGCTAATATGCTGAGCCGTTTGTTACAAAATTGGATATGGATAGTCTGAAATCTGAAAAAGAACATAAGCTACTGTTTATCAAAACTCCACGCGGGCGAAGCCGCGGGCTTAAGCTAGTATATACATATATTTAAACGATACGCAATGTCGATTTATTACAACACTACATATTTTAGACACACACACACACTCTTGTGTGACATATACATGTAAAAAGCTCTATCTCATAGAAAATAATATATATATGTGAAGATTTATCAATGAAATTCTAAAAATACTAGCTCTCAATAGGTATGTCAATAAACCTTATGAAATGTTTGCAAATAGCAATATATAATATACTTAAGAATGGCACTAATCTATATATATAAAAGAAAGTCGTGTTAGTGACTCCACTTATAACCCAAGAACGGCTGAACCGATTTAGCTGAAAATTGGCAGGGAGGTAGTTTAGAACCAGGAAATTGCAATAGGATACTTTTTATCCCGTTCGACAGCATTCCCGTGGGACTTGACATGAAACGTCAGTCATTATAAAACGTGGAATAATACAATTAACAGCTATGCAATTGACGTATAATGACAGATATGTAATGACGTATGGATGACAATTAGATATTTGTAAGAAATCTACTATATAAAAATAAAAATATTTAGGGAATGTGTTTGTAGTTTGAACTCTTAAAACCATTTTAGTATTTGCGGGATAAATTTAGAAAATCATTGTTTTTCACATGGGCAGTTATATTTTGCGTGTTCACGAGTTTGGAAACCATACGCTTTATTTGTGTTAAAGTTAGACCAAAAAACAAAAAATGTGGTTTACAAAGGAGCACTTCAATGAAACGGATAATTTGCGGACACGTATAACGCTTCGATTCGGTATCTACTTTGGATTCACTTTCAAATAAAAAATTTCCTTTTCAAATATAAAACAAAAAATTCTTCATCTTTTAATCACCAAACGAAATGTTATATAAAAGCTCTGGTGGCGAAACGGAGTTCGCCAGGTTTACTAGTTTATATTAAAAAAACAGTTCTTAACCACGCATTGAAAAAACTGATCAATAAAGAAAAATCTTCATAATTTTTGAGTTTAGGTGAGTAACAGAAACTTGTAGCAATCTATAAGAGTAATTACGTATTACAGCAACTGCCATGATTAACAATTTTCAAAATATTTCGTAAAAAAAAAATGTCTTCAAAACCTACAGTAAGGTGCGAGTCTCTAAGCTAGTAACTAAAGGGATGATAATTTTTTTAGTCTCTATCATATTCAAAGAAAATTAATAACTTCGACCCATAGAACCTTCCCACATAACGGACTGCCTGTATTAAAATCGATCTGATTCTGAACGTCGGTAAATATATATAAATTTTTTTCAGAGTAGAAATTTCCAAACTCAACGAGGAAAATGGAAGAGGGAATGTTTGAAGATTCACAAATATTGCTACTTATAAAGGATAACAGCTTTAAAGAAACGTAGTGAACAGGACGAAATGTCCGGACAATGTATTTTGTAAATTTTTTGAGAGCACGAAACAGGAAATTAGAAAGTCTTAATAAATTATCTTGTAATGTTTATAAAACGGTTTAGTCTAAGAAAGCCATCCATTGTATGAATCTTAGAAGGAACCTAATGCTTTGATACTCAAAAAGTTGAAGGATGTTTTTTTATATTTATGCTATGACTTCATTCGCACTGGTATCTTGGAATATTTTGCCGGTGTCAACATTTTATTATTATTCTATTCATTGATACGTTGTCATTTGGTGTCAAGTGAAGAAAAATTTGTATTGGTTTTTCATAATTTTTATTACTTAATAATTTTTTTTCATAATACATATTTCCATTTGGCTTTTTACCAGTTTTGGTTATTTTATTTTAAATCTAGAATAGCTCTAGCACATGTGTTAGGTATCTATTTAAAGTATAACAGAATTGAATTCTAAAAGTTTTTTGTCTAACTCTACTTTTACTTTCACTCACACAAAACTCAGCTTAAATCAAACGCACTATAAGTAAGTGCATCAAAAAAAAAAAATATCTAACGAATGTTGTTTGAATTAATACGACTTAGGAACGAAAAACAGCAACATAATTTTTATAATATTCATGCTTCTCGTAAAACGTAAATAATTTACATAAAATTATTTATTAAGCTAAAGGTATTGTCGTAGTTATTTTATTTATGAGAATACCCCATCTTAGGAAGGCAGGACGAATTCTAATGTGAATATAATATAGTGTGTATGTCTGTTTGTATATTGTATGTTTATATGTAAAATTTAAATTAATCTTCTTATCGCTAATACTGTACTTACTATATACTGAAAGTATTATTTTTAAAGTTATGTAACTAAAAAAAAACTAAACGCCTTTGTTAACTTTCGTTTAGTTTATAGCAGTTTATTGTTTCTCAGCTATCCTGCCTTTTAAAGTTGAGAGAAGCTCAACACTACAACCAAATATTGCTACAAACGTCTTCAAACAAGGAATTTAGCAACAAGATTCATTGTTAGGCCCTTTGGCTAAGCCTATTTGTAACAAAAAAAATTTAGTGGTTCATGGAAAACATCGACAATCCCAATATGAAGTAAACATTAAAAATGATCTGATTAAGGAAAGACAAAGGCAACGAAAAGGATTATACTAGTATTAACGGAAACGGGAAACAATAACGATGAAGAGACAGGGACAATCTTTAAACCATTGTTAATGAATTTGAAGAAAACAGTTCAAAACAGCAAGTCTTGAAAAACAAAGCTTAGAATTTAATAATAACTGGACGAGACACAAAATCAAAATAATCTTTCATAGATACCTCCCATCTAGTTGCACCAGTGTAAGTAAATCTTTTTATTAAATAAAACAATAACCCCATCTAGTGTAGCCATAATACAACTCTCTTCTACGGGCAAAGATGTTTGAAACTGTTGTCAAATACCAAATTTAGCATTTTAATTTTTAGTAAGGGAAACATACACCCTAATTTTTTACCTTTTGTAACATAACTATTAGTAATTGCCTTATAACTTATAAGTATCTACTTAATTCCCGAACTTAATTAATTTGTATTTAAATCTTCATTCTATTTACTTTTATTTAAATTACCCATTTCCCTCAGTCCGACTTCAGCATATTTTTAATTATTAAGTTTTATATTTATTAACTCCCTATTTAAAAGTAAAAATATGCTCTTCATTTTATTTTAAATACTTTAACAATATTATAACTAGCGATAAAATAAACAGTTTTAAGAAATAACCTATCCATTACACTTTTTTTTTTAATTATAAAATTAATTGAAACTACTTTTTAGAGTCAAACTGAGTTCAAATTATCATAATAGAGCTTCTTAATGATTAAGAATTTCTACAGTGATTCATCAGGTGTAGTAGATATCAATATCTATATATATAAAAGAAAGTCGTGTTAGTGACTGCACTTATAACTCAAGAATGGCTGAACCGATTTAGCTGAAAATTGGCAGGGAGGTAGTTCAGAGCCAGGAAATTGCAATAGGATACTTTTTATCCCGTTCGACAGCATTCCCGTGGGACTTGACATGAAACGTCAGTCACTATAAAACGTGGAATAACGAAACACAATTGACAGCTATGCAATTGACGTATAATGATAGATATGTAATGACGTCATTATGACAATTAGATATTTGTAAGAGATCTACTACATATATAAAAATAAGTCCGGTCCGGAACGAACTAATTTTCAACGTTTTTGCATTCGTTGGAAAGGTCTCGGGTTCGGTGAGGTATATAACAAAAAATTTCAACAGAAAAGCGGGAAAATCTTTTTTCACATGCAGCGCCATCATAAATAACATGTACTACAAATCAATATTTTAAGCAGATGGTTCCGTCGCATGATACATTGTTTGAAAGCTACTCATTGTTCTCTTCTCAGTTAATTTCATGTGACAAACCGGTATTGTGTTTGTAGTTTGAACTCTTAAAACCATTTAGTATTGGCGGGATAAATTTAAAAAATCATTGTTTTTCACATGGGCAGTTATATTTTGCGTGTTCACGAGTTTGGAAACCATCCGCTTTATTTGTGTTAAAGTTAGACCAAAAAACAAAAAATATGGTTTACAAAGGAGCACTTCAATGAAACGGATAATTTGCGGACACGTACATATAACGCTTCGATTCGGTATCTAATTTGGATTCACTTTCATTTACTTAGAGAAGTTTAACTAAATAACACTTCATTTTTGTAATCAAAATGAATTCATTACAGTTGTGAAATGAAATAAAAATTTTCCTTTTCAAATATAAAACAAAACAATTCTTCATCTTTTAATTACCAAACGAAATGTTTTATAAAAGCCTTCTGGTGGCGAAACGGAGTTCGCCAGGCTTACTAGTTATATATAAACCCATAGGTATGTGAACTACAACAAAAAAAAGTATATATATAATCTAATAATTTGATTTTTAAACTGTGGTACATTTATTATTTTAAATAAATAAATCGTTGCTTTTAAATAAATATTCATATTTGTAAAAGGTAAAAAAATATACATTAAAAGATGAAATTTGAAATTCATTGTTTTTATAATAGGTAATATAATTTTCTTTTAAATATTTTATAAATTAATTTACTACATTTCCTAAGTTCTCTACTTTTTTAAAAGTTGAATGACAGCAGTGTCATAGACAATATCGTATAGCGCCATCTACAGTTTCACCATACCGTAATGGTGGTTATCGTAGTGAATATTGACTGACTGCATCTATTTTTATTTGTATTTTGTAATTAATTAAAGATAATCGCATTATAGTGTATTGTGGCTGCGGCCATAACATGCTTTCTTATGTCGGGAATAGCTAAAACGTCAGTTTTGGTCGAGGAGGGTGGAAATCAGTGTAGAAAACGTTCTAATATAAGTGCCAGCAGCGATCAGTGTAGCAAAAGATCAAAATTTGACGATATGAGTTCTAACGAAAAGAAATCTAACTTCTCAATGCTCAATCCCAACGTTAATGGCACAATCAAAATGACAACGTCGTCCATGAACAAACCTGGCGCAACAACAAAGAAACTAGTTATTAAAAACTTTAAAAGTCTGCTCATAATTATATTACAATAATATTATATTCACTTGTCATAACCTCTTGACGTGAAATGATGATTGTGATTATTTTTCAGGTAAACCGAACCTTCCGGAAAACTATCAAGAGACAACATGGAGCAAGTTACGAGAGGCTGTTATAGCTATACAGACGTCGAAGGCAATCGCCTACTCCTTAGAAGAATTATATCAAGCAGTTGAAAATATGTGTAGCCATAAGGTATGACGATACTACATGTTGACAATGTTTATATACTCAACAATATTATTTTAATAATTTTTGTACTTAATTATTATCTATTCATCAAATATCGTACAAAATATTATCTACTAATGATATGAAAATAAATAAAAATGTTAATAATGGTCAATGTTTTACATAAAAAAAATCAAAGTAAACTGTTCTAACAAAAAAATGGCAATGGACATTAAAAGTACTTACAAGAAGTATTTAACAAGAACAAAAAATCTGATTAAGTATGTATGGAATATTTTTCCAGATAATAAGCATTTAAAATATGTTAAATAATCAAAAAGTATTGTTTTTTTTTTTTATATAAAAACTTACATTTATTATAAGAATGATTTATCATAAATGTAAACAAAAATAATTATCTTGAGCATTATCATAGTAATTATAAATACAATTTTTTGATATGGAGCTGTATTTTTTATGCAAAATAATTTTGATTTTCATAAGATATAATAATAAAAATAATTATGCTATCAAGATATTAAATTGACCGTTGATAATGGTGTCTTATGAGAAGAAAGTGAAAGTTCTTGATCTGAAATAATTCCAATTTAATTCTGTCTGTTGAAAATTCTTGTCATACAAGTAATACAAATCTTTATTACATATTTTTCCAGATGGCGTCTCAATTATATGTTAATTTGACAAACTTAGTTGAAGCCCATGTGAAGTCAAACATTGAGCAGTTTCTATCCGAGAGCATGGATCGTCAAGTGTTCCTCAAGCGTATGGACGACTGTTGGCGAGCTCACTGCCGACAGATGATCATGATCAGAAGCATCTTCTTGTACCTGGATCGGACTTATGTTCTCCAAAACCCTAGCATACATTCTATATGGTTGGTATACTTATCAAATTAACTTTATGATTGGTGAAGAAAATGTTTTTAATAAGTTCCAATATATTTTAACTATATGCAGTTTTTTGTAAAAAACAAAAATTTTCACTTTTACTTAACCTTGTATTCGTCTATCTTTGTACTACAAGTTCTTAAAAAATTCAGAACTATATGTAAATACTGTATATATTATATAAATTTTTCGAGTCAATGGTGGCCTAGTGGTTAATAGGCCCGCCTCTGATGCACTAAGGCTCGGGTTTGATCCTGGCCTTGGCAAGTACCAATGAGATTTTTCCAAGTCATATGTACTTTCTAAGAGTATTTAGACATCACTGATTAATGCATTTCCAAAGAGGGTTGATGTCTGGCAGGCGGCCGGTCGTAAAAACAATTAGCCAAAAGTATATGCAACATGTAAGGCAGACCCTGGTTAAAGCTGGAAAATTGCCAGGTAGAAAAGATTATATAAATTTTTCAGTTTGTCAGTGTTATCGCAATCATTAATATAAAACACAAATACAAACAAACATTAAAATTGCATAGTAATGTATGTATATAAGTCAGTGGTGGCCTAGTGGTTAAAGGGCCCGCATCTCGTTGCCGAGGGCGCGGGTTCGATCCTGGCCCGGGCAAGTACCAATGTGATTTTTCCGAGTCATATGTACTTTCTAAGACTATTTAGACATCACTGATTAATGTTGATTCCCAAAAGAGGGTTGATGTCAGGCAGGCGGCCGGTCGTAAAAACAAATAGTCAAAACTATACACAACATGTAAGGCAGACCCTGGCTATAGCTGGGAAATTGCCAGGTAGAAGAAGAGTAATGTATGTATATGTAGGTGCAAGATTATATTCAGAAATAGGTTTTATTTCACTCTATTCAGCAAACAGTATAAGAGATAATTAAATCATAATTTAAAGTGTTGTTTATAAGGCAACACATAATTTGTGTGAATTTGTGTTTATAATTGAATTTGTGTGTTTAAGCTTACCACACAATGAGAGTTATATAAATATTTTTTCTATGTAACTTAACTCTCATGGGTTATTAGTCCTAACAATCAATGTAGTCCTTACATACATAGGATAACAAAACTCTTATTTTTGTCACATACATTTAGTGTGTGCCTCTAATTGAAAGTATCTCAGTGCAGTCATATGTAAAAACTGGTATTACATATAAAGAGCTCGGACAATGATGTTATGTTATATATTCCAGGGACATGGGTCTGGATCTGTTCCGGCATCACATAGCTATGAACACTCTGATACAGACTCGCACTGTCGACGGACTGTTGACACTGATAGAACGGGAACGAGGGGGTGACGCTGTGGACATCTCCCTACTGAAGAGTTTATTGAGGATGCTGTCCGACCTGCAGATATACCAGGATGCCTTTGAACACAAGTATGCATGAATTAACTCATGAAAATTGTCCCAAATATTTATGAACAGTTGTTGAATTTAGTGGTCTTAAATAGTCCAGATATGTTATTGTCATATCAAAAGTATGAAATGAATTTATATCTAATATATGAGGTACATTATTTGAAAGTTACATCAAAATCTAGTATATTTTATGTAAATGAGCTTAAAACATCCCTATATCCTCAAAAGCTGCATTAATATATTAAAGGTATTGTTGGCAAATTAATATTATTATATATAAATAATGTATTCTAGATTCCTTCAAGCCACAGAGCGTCTGTACTGTGCGGAGGGCCAGCGTCTCATGCGTGAGTTGGCCGTGCCTCAGTACCTGGCTCACGTGGAGAAGAGACTCAGGGAAGAGAACGAACGGCTGTTACACTATCTGGACCCCTGTACCAAGTGAGATATCTACATTCAATATACATTTTAGCCCAACAAGTATTAATTGTAGATAAAATACGCGATCATTGAAGTTAATGGTGGCCTAGGAGATAAAAGGCCCGCCTCTCATGCATGAGGGCGCGGGTTCGATCCTGGCAGGTACCAATGTGATTTTTCCGAGTCATATGTACTTTGTAAGAGTATTTAGACATCACTGATATATTCCCAAAGAGGGTTGATATTAGGCAGGCGGCCGGTCGTAAAAACAATTAGCCAAAACTATTCACAAGATGTGAGGCAGACCCTGGCTAAAAAATTGCCAACTAGAAGAAGAAGATTAAAATACGCGATCAAAAGATGAAATATAATTTAAATGAAACTCATATTTTTCGGATATACTACGCTATTTTATTTTTGATAAAAAAAATTGTCATCTCGCCTGCCCGTGATCGTGATTGCCGAAAAATTGCCGAAACATCGGGAGAAGGTAGTTTTCATTAAAAATAAAGTCTCCGCGACTTCCGAATATATCCGAAAAACCGAAATATATTACTTCCATTTAAATGAATAAGACTCGTGGAAAATCTTAGTTCTCATTAGGCAAAAAGTTAACTCTTTATTTGAAATAAATATTTATTAGGTACTTTTGCTGTAAATTTTCGAATTTGACAATAATTTTTACCAACTAACATAAATTATTGTTCAATTTAAATAACCCCCTACTATGTTTTTATCATAATAGTAACAAAATGTTATATAATTACAGATGGCAGCTCATCCATACAGTTGAGCGTCAGTTGTTGAGTGAACATGTTAGCGGTGTACTTAGTAAGGGGCTGGAGTCTCTTATGGATGGCCCTCGTCTCAGAGACCTCGCTACATTATACTCACTGTTCAGTAGAGTTAAGGACGGACTCACTGAACTGTGTAGTCACTTTAATGCATACATTAAGGTAAAATAATATCATAATTGTATGGAGAAAACATTAATTAAAGACATATATTTGTTTTTTTCCAACCCATTTTGAGCAAGTTTTGCTGATTAATGCTCAAATTCTCCATGTGAGAAGAGGACTTACAGCAGTGGGCTCTGATAGGCTGATGATGATGACATTTGTTTTTAATATTGAAAGATATTTAACTAATTACTGAATTAGAATTTGATTATATAAAATGGCATATTCATTCATGATGACTAGAAATGGCATTGTAACTTATGGTTTAAACTTTAAAAATTAAAGTAATTGGAATGCATTATTCTATTGTGTTTGAATGGTTTATTTAATAAGCAAAATACTTCAATATAAATTTGTTGTACATTACAGAAAAAAGGTCGAACAATAGTGATTGAACCGGAGCGTGACAAGACAATGGTAGCTGAACTATTAGAGTTTAAAGAACAACTGGACAATGTAGTGAGCACGTGCTTCCAAAGAAACGACCGGTTCCTGTACTCCATGAGAGAGGCCTTCGAACACTTCATCAACCAGAGACAGAACAAACCCGCTGAACTTATCGGTAACAACAACATGAAGTCTTTATTGGTTACTGTGAATAAAACTACACACATTAAAATGAGATCTAAGACTTTGACGAGTGTTCATTTAAATGAAACTAATGTTATTAGGATTACTACGCGTATTTTGTTATTAAAAACTACATACTCGGGACTTTTCATTCATTCACGAAACGTCGGGAGCATGTAGTTTTTAAATAATTAAATAACATGCAATAATCCGAAAATATTAGTTTTATTCAAACATTAAAAATTATTGTGTATTAGTTATACACTTGGTTGATATTATTAAATAATTATGTAAAGTTAAGTGTGCATAGATTATATTAGGTTCTGTCATTTTTTTTTTTTTTGTTATCGCGGTGAAAGGTTTTATACCTACCCCTCCGTCTAGGGGAGACAGAGGCGGTTATGTGGGATTCACGGCCAGAAGGGCCCATGTTACCCACTAAAACACCAGCGGTCACTCTCCGTTGCCGCCAAGTGGATCGCCACGGGAAACGCCGAAGCATGCATCCGCGACGATCCGGCGGCGGGCCGCGAACGGCCACCTCCCCCCCCGAGGGCCCACTCCAAGTGACCAGGAGTGTCCCCCCGCCTGGCGGGCTTGCTTAATCGCGAGAGGGTTAACCCCTTACCCCTCCCACCCAAGCCCACGCGGCCAGTCTCCAACCACCCACCGACGAGCGCAAGCGCCCGACGGCAGTCAGAGAGGAAACCGACCGACCACAAGCGAACTCAGGCCTCCGGAGAGACCCGAGTATCCCCTCCCCCCCAAGACAGCCACGGACGGCCTCCTGCCAGACCCGTGACCGTCTTACTCCCAGGGCTGTACCCCCAGCCCTCCCCCCCGTGACTGATTGCACCGGAATACACCAGTGGGCGATGGGGTCGTCACGTCCCGACGCCGGGAGGTTCTGTCATTTAGTCCAACAAGACTTAGCAGCATCTTAACACTTAATACAGTTTTATTGTATACTACAAAAATATAATTCTAATACATAACTAATTATATTTTGCAGCAAAATTCGTCGACCTTAAACTAAGAGCCGGCAACAAAGAGGCGACGGAGGAGGAATTAGAAAGACTGCTGGACAAAATAATGGTTTTATTCCGTTTTATACACGGGAAGGATGTGTTTGAGGCATTCTACAAGAAGGATCTAGCAAAGAGGTTGTTAGTTGGCAAGTCGGCCTCCGTAGATGCTGAGAAGTCTATGTTAAGTAAATTGAAGCAGGAGTGTGGAGGGGGCTTCACATGCAAGTTAGAAGGAATGTTCAAAGATATGGAACTGTCGAAGGATATTAATATTACATACAAGCAGGTACTTATATCACTAAGTCTGTACATTTAAATTCAAACATAAAGTCAAATTTTGTCTATGACAGCATAATAGGTTCTTTCTAAAAATTACGTGTAAAAAAATAATCTAAATACGTATTTTTCACGCATTACGGTTTAAAACAGAGAATAAATTCCGAAACTTCTATCCTGAATCCATCCATATGATTATACACATATTTTACACATTTAACCTAAACATCTTCACATACAAATTAATTTATCCTATAAGCTAATTAAAATCAAAGTTTTATTATTTAACATAAATAGATTCTAAGGTACTAACCACCGATGAGCTCTTAACCGTTCGCGAGTATCCATTTAAATGAAACTAACATTCACATCTCGTCTGCCCGTGACCACGGTTGCTGCAAACTAATCTAAACGTAGAATATGTAGTTTTTAAAAATAATAAAATAACACGTAGTAATCCAAATATATTAGTTTTAACTTTCATTGTAACAACGACTTGATTCCCCCAGCACTTATCAGCGAGCAGCGAGTGCGGCGGTCTTGAACTATCCGTGTACATCTTAACGATGGGCTTCTGGCCGACGTACGCGGCGGTGGAGGTGCGTCTGCCGGGCGAGCTGACCCGCCACCAGGAACACTTCGCCAAGTTCTACCTGGCCAAGCACTCGGGCAGGAAGCTGCAGTGGCAGGCCACGCTGGGGCACTGTGTGCTCAGGGCGCACTTCACACAGGTACACACACACATATATACACTCTAACACACTGAAACAATCTCTCCAACATATATACAACGTTTTAATGTAAAGAGCTCACTTTGTTAATATGGCGGCGTGGGGACCTGGAGACCTGTAATATAGGTATTCCTATACCCATCACGGGCTCCAGTCTCTCACTAATGTATATTTATATAAGATGATGTACACTAGGGTTATGTTGTAGCTCAGTTGAATGTACTGATAGTAGGTCAAGCATTTTATTACTCTAAAACTTACTGTAAGTAACACTTAAAGCTAGAATGAGAGTAAAGGCGAATAAAACCTTTAAATAAAATGTCTGTAATTATAGATGTATTGTAATAAATCACCTATTAAATATACTCTATAAAATGGATCAGAGATTTATTTATATACTTACTGATAATTTTTTTTTTTAAATTGTTAATTCAAGGGTAACAAAGAACTACAGGTGTCGTTGTTCCAAGCGCTGGTCCTGTTACTCTTCAATGATGGAGACAATCTCTCATTTGAAGACATCAAGACTGCCACTAACATTGAGGTATAAACTAAATGCAGTAAATAACATACAACCTATATAGTGTTCTTTAAAATCGGCACGAATTCTAAATATCGAAATATTTTAGTTTTTAACTGCCATGAGACGAAATGGTGGGTTAAATATCATACAATTTCTGTGAAGATGTGTACACTTAGTGTTTATATTCAACATCAAGCTAGACTGACAACCCGAGAACCAAACTGACAGCTCATATTACTTTGAGCTACAATAATAACTATTTGAAATAACTAAACTACACTATATATTAATAATAATAATGTATGATATTTGTTTAAAACTGAGTGTATATGTACAGGAAGGCGAGCTACGCCGGACCCTCCAGTCTTTGGCGTGCGGCAAGGCGCGTGTGTTGATGAAGACTCCTCGAGGACGCGACGTCCAGGACCGGGACCACTTCGCGTTCAACGCGGACTTCACCAACAAGCTGTTCCGCATCAAGATCAACCAGATACAGATGAAGGAGACCGTTAGTATTACAAGAATAAGTCATTACCTACGTATATGTCATAGGCAATTTGTATAATATGTAATTCCCAAAGAGGGTTGATGTCAGGCAGGCGGCCGGTCGTAAAAAAAAATTCCAAAACTATTCACAACATGCAAGGCAGCCCCTGGTCAAAGCAGGGAAAATTGCCAGGAAGAAGAAGAATTTAAATAATATGTCCAATTAGAAATTGTCGAAGGTGGATTGTAAATTGTCGTCATTTTATAAAGATGAGATAAATTCAAAGAGATCAGATGTAAAGAACAGGCAACATTTGTGAATGATCAAATGTCAATTCAATATCTAATTTATTCATTCAAACTAAATATCTTAATCTTTATATATATAATTCTTCTGTGAGTGTGTATGTCACTGAACTTATCTCAAACGACTGGACCGATGTTGATGAAATTTTTTGTGTGTGTTCAAGGGGATCTGGGAATTGTTTAGATTCACAATTTTGTCCGCTGGATAATGTTTTTTTAATTATTTTTTAATTTATTATTAGTTGTTGATACAAACGTTGTTTTTTGACATTAGATTTGACAACTAACTAATATGTCAATCATTCTGTCGCACGTCAAAACACGGAGATTTATGGCTTTAATAGGTAAACTCCAAAAATATAAATAAAAAAACGTAACAGATATTTCTTGATTATAGGGCGATACGAAGTTCGCCAGGTCTTCTAGTATATATGTGTATAAGTAGTTTCATGACATTTTATTTATAATAATTTGAATGTTTCAGAGCGAGGAACAGAAGGCGACCGAGGAGCGAGTGTTCCAAGACCGTCAGTACCAGATAGACGCGGCCATAGTCCGGGTCATGAAGATGAGGAAGGCTCTCTCACACAACCTGCTCATCTCCGAACTATATAACCAGCTCAAATTTCCCGTCAAGGTTAGCAATTTACATATATATAGTATACAGGGTGACTGGTGAATTACTATCAATATTTAAGGAGAATACTCGGTACATGATTCTCATTCGAATTATGTAAAAAAAATAGGTACTTAATTTTTGACCAAATTTCCGTATAAATAAATAAAGTGTTGACACGTTCCAAGTGTGGACGCGTGCGGCGGCGTGCTGATACAACACTACGCCGCCGCGCGCGTATGTGTGTGTGAGTGTATACCTAATCTGTAGGGTGTTCACACGATGCGTAATTAATTACATAACTTTTGGTTAACTTTACTTAAAGTTTATTAATATTTATGTTATATTAATTTTTATTTTGTCATATATGATCGTCAAATATCACGTCCTCAAGTATCGATAGCAATTCACCAGTCACCCTGTATATATAAAAGAAAGTTGAGTTAGCTATACTATTTATAATTTAAAAACTGCTGTACGGATTTGGCTGGAAATTTGTGGGGAGGTAGGTTAGATTCAGAAAACGAACATAAGATACTTTTGAATTGGTTCAACCAATACAAATTTTGTAATAAAATCCAAAATCTGTTTATTTTCTGCCTCCATAAAGAGACATTTTACCTTTTTTTTTGTGCGCACTGGGAAAAAATGCTTTACGCATCCCCTCTCCGTCGGGGAACGGAGAGGGGTATGTGGGACTCCCCGGGAAAAGGATTCCCGGTATACCCACTAAAACAACCCAGTGGCGCTTCGACCTCGCCTGACTGACAGGGGGCTGGGAATCCGGTTGCATCCAGCCCCAAGAGAGACATTTTATCTGGTCAGCTATACTTTTCTTATTATGAAACTAACACGGACAGATTCGCGGGAAAAAGCTAGTATAACATATAGTTTGTATCTTCGTTTATTTAAAATAGCTCTATAGTAGACTAATAATATATAAATTTATATTCCAGCCAGCGGACCTCAAGAAGCGTATAGAGTCCCTGATTGACCGCGACTACATGGAGCGAGACAAGGACAACCCCAACCAGTACAACTACGTCGCGTAATGAATTCTACCGGCCGCCTGACACACACATATATATAATAAAACTCTTACGTACTGTTACTTGCCGATTACACGCGATCTTTTATTATTATATTGTCTCTCCGTCAAGTTTCACTGTTATGATAGATGATTAATAAATTTTTAGCATCGAAATAATGCAATATTTGGATTTATAATCCGTACTGTTTGAATGTGGCTTGTCAGAAATCTATATAAATGTCATGTGATTCCGAATATTGTAATTATATACAGTTATATATTTATATGATTATATTATTAAGTATAGGAGTTCTAAAAGTAAATTACAGAGTGACAAACGCCTTTCATACATAGATCAGATTCATCATAGCATCATGGTATTCATTACAGCGGCAATAATTACTATATTAAAATGTACTAGAGGTAGATAATATTGCAAAGTGTGAGATCCTCGTCATGTCTTTAACACTGGCGTCAAAATGTGCGTGATATTAAACGTCCCTCCCTTACACAACTAGTCCACCGACTTGTTACTGTTTGTACATTTTGTATTTATAGTTTTGCTTGGAGTTTGTAAGGAACGAAACGAAGTACGCAACAGTTTGCCGTAACAGTGAGGTTGTGTTCACAGCGGGAGGGATCACCAATAAAACTATTTATAATTTTCTAATCATATTTTATTTTTACCCTTCATGTTATTGCGTTTCGTTTCGGTGATTACGTTAAATCACAGACACACTGTTGCAGAAAATACTCTCGAGTATGTACAGAGGGGATTATGAATGAAGATACATTCATTAAAAGTAATATATAATAAATAGTAGAAATCGTCTAAGCAATGTATAGCAATGATTGAAACAACCTACTTAGTCGCTAACAAATGCATTCACATATCAACAATTAATAAACTTCTGAAAAACTGTTAATGATTTATCAATAAGATATTACTAAACCAGATCAAAAAGATATTTACATTAAATTGGACGCTATAAGGAAGACATTAGTACTACAATGACTAGTGGGTTTTGTTAAATTCAATTCGGTACAGCAAGATAATCTGATACATATATTTTTGTATGTTTTTCTGTTTTATATCTTTATAGTAGTCTTATAGCACAATATCAACGTCTTCTGTATGTTACTTGTCAGCTATCTTGAACACAGTGTCGAGGTAGTCCTTGTGGTAGTCGAGCTCCTCAGTGAGAGCCATCGCTAGCGTGTGAGGGGTGATCTCCGTTTCCAAGTAGTCTTTTAGCAAGATCTGTTTACGAAAAAAATATATAAATTACTGATTTTTCAACAAAAAAATTTTAGTCTTAACATTTGCTGGATTACTGATACAGCTGCACACAAAAAAATATTACATTTTTAAAGTGAATCTTCCAACGAGGTTGCGTTAAACGTTTAACGCTCTTTTATAAACAGACATCGACATGCGGGCAATCAATTGTGACTTGTAATTTTTATAGTTTGCCTTAAAAATCAATTTCTGGCCCTTCCTGTTTTTATTCCAACATTACGAAGTTTCACTTCTTCCTGGCTGAGAGAGTCCATTCACAATTCTTTTTTTAATTTCATGTAAATCATATTTTTTTTCAATTATTCTCATATTTGTCAATTTCTTGTTACCTGTGGCGGGACGGATCCTCCGTGTTTCAGCAGTCCGTGCCTCAGTCGCTCGCCGGCCGTCCGACTGAGCGGTTGTGTGTGGAAGTGCGTCCTCCAGGCGCTCCACGCCAACGCTCTCGATATCAGGTACGAATAGTATTTCGCGCCGTATCCGATGAGATGACTGAAGCGATGTTGCCAGGCCTTGGAAGAAATTATTTAATTTATTATTCAGTATCGTACATGTCTAATAATATTGAATTGATATAAACATTACCGTGTTCTCCACATACGGTAATCCATAGTATTGCTTCTGAACTTGTCTCAGTACTTCTGTAGTATTTTCGCCCTGACCCGCTTCAGGTCCGTGGTATTGCTGGTCTAACGCTGAGTAGAACACCTATAACCGTCAATAGACCGCTGAGTTCGCTGATGATGCATACACATCATATATGCGTGAGTGTATTCACCTGTAACTGCATCTCACTAGCGCCGAACAGATGTTTGGAGGCGCACAGCCGCTGTAACATGTCTTCTGGCATCGGCTCTCCTGTCTGGAAGTGACGAGCGAAACGACGCACCACCTACACGAAAAATAGAATCCTAACTATAATATGACTTATTATAATAGAAATATTAAGTTCCTTGTAGACGAACTTAGAAGAATGTTAATCAGCTTTTAAAACGATTGCAAATGACTTCATTTTCTGAATTTATTTCTCCAGCGTTTCTTATATAGTTTAGTATATGAACATACCATAGAAACAAAATTCTGTTTAACAACTATCCTCAACTCTTAAATGTAAGTTACACCATAATAAACCTAACATTTTGTAATAGTTTGTTCGTTACAAGTAACATATTAGAGTTTACATCAAATATATCGTATGTTATGCCATACCCGTGGTTCAGCAGCGAAGTGTTCCATGAGCACGGAGGGTAGTTCAGCGAGGTCGGTGGCGCAGCGCGTGCCGGCCACGTGCTGGTGGTGCGCGCGGGCCAGCATGGAGTGCAGCGCGTGGCCCAGCTCGTGGAACAGGTTGTCCACCGAGCACGGACCCAGCAGCGCCGGGCCCGAGCGGTGACCGCCCGCCAGGGACAGCATCACTACAACCACCGGGTTCTGGAACCATATAATATACATCATTACATCTAAGATATTCGTGACTTATTCATTAAAATGAAGCTAATATTTGTCGGTTAAACTAATCGACTATATTTTTCACTAGCTGCACCCCGCGGTGTTACCCGCGGATTTCCGGGATGTAAAGTAGCCTATGTGTTATTCCTGGACGTCAGCTTCATGTATACAAAATTTTATCAAAATCGGTTCAGCCGTTTGAGCGTGAAGAAGTAACAAACATACAAACACACTCACAAACTTTCGCAATTATAATATTAGTAGGATAAAAACTACATACTCCCAACGTTTCGGTTACTTTTCAGCAGGGCAGACGAGATGTCTCAGATCGCGGTTGCTGAAAAGTAGCCAAAACGTTGGGAGTATGTAGTTCTTATGAAAAATAAAGTCGCGTAATATATCCGAAAGATATTAGTTTCATTTAAATGTATTATACATCAACCTCAAAATAATATTTTGAATTTAATTCAACTGATATTCAAGTCACTCTATTTAGATATTGATAATAATTAATTCATGGACAGTTTCATGCATAATAATTGAAACCATTTTAAATTGAACTATCGAGTAATAACAAACCAACATGATCTACTACTACATATACTATCTACTTATTTGTATTTATATGTCAAGTAACCTGGTATGTTCCGTCGGGCAGTAGTTTTCCTCCGCGGATAGTGAAATGACAGTCTTGATGCGGCTTCCCGGGCCTCTCGTAGAGGTCACAGTAAATGTGTCCCAAAGTACCCTCAGTAGCGTGCTCTACACGGACCTTGTACACGTCAGGTGACCAAGACTCGCCTGGAATGTGCAAATAATGTTTAAAGACAGATATCAAATAAAAGGGTTATAAACTCCAAAGGTTTTTGTTAAATTAATATTTATTGAATTTTTTGGTAAAACTATCAAATAAAGCCCTATTTTCATACAAAAACCATACATCATCTGATCAAATAAGAATCAAGAGATTTAATTTGAACGGATTTAATGGACATCAAGGGTGGCTTTGTATTTTCGACCAAATGACTGGAATTCATAGACAACATATTTGTTTTCACATATATATATAACCTGGCAACATTTCCTCGGACTGTAACGTTATGTTGTACAGTTCCTGGCACAGCATGTTGAGTCCCTCCATACAGGCGCCTAGTGAGAAGTACGGACTGAACTCGGAAGGAGACACGTTTAGGAGCTGGGCCTTGGCCTTGTGGGTGAAGTACGGGGTGTCCCAACACATCAACGACTTCTAAATACAATATACATATATGTGTTTACAACATATTATCAATTATACTTCTTTATATATGAGTGTACGTATTTATGTGGCTGCATTACAATAACAATAGATAATATTTATTTAATTTAGAGCTATAAGTGTAAATACTAGTCTAAACTATAGAAAGAGACACTTGCAAAAATCTTAAGATATCATTAACAGACAATTTTCAATAAATTACTCAGAATAACCTTACAAAGTCTTTATTTTTCAAATAGGACGTCCTAAAGGACTCGGATGTATGTCGTTATGTGTTTGTTTATATGTATGTATATTATACCTGGTAGGGAGTCTCCTTTCGCTTCATGGCCGCCATGGCTTCGAAGTCAATGTTGGCTCTGTCGTGGAGGTTGTCTGACAACACGTCCAGGAACTGACGGACGTTAGACGACGTCTCCATGGTACTGGCTTTAATAGCTCTACGAAAATAGCACACCATCATTAGGCTTATTATAAAACCTACAACTGGTAGAGAGAACTTCGCAAACAACGAAAACAAAGAACAAATTGGCGAAATAATTTGATATTAGTATCATGGAAAGACAGTCTCTCTTATAAAAATATCACAGAAGGACCAATCATGTGACAAAAAACAATCAAGCCAACTATTACATTACTAAAGAAAGATCTCAGAAAGCTGCATACAAAACTAGTGGCTTAATATTCCACCCAATCTGACCAAACTCATAAGATTAACAATTTTTTCTCACAAATATTGGATGTCTTACCGATCAGCATAACATTTAAATCCACACAAGCCGGCCAGTTCTCTCCTAGCTTTCAATGTCTTCCCCAATAGTAGTTCCTGTCGTCCGTCGGCCGCCAGGTACAATCTGTACGCGGCCTCACGAGCCCCCGCCTCACCACACTCAGCGTACACACCACTCACAGTCACTGTGTCACCATCACAACTAAAACTGATACATTTTATATTACACACATGATTATAATATCTTTTAAACAAAAAATTCATTATATGGACCTTAAATTTGATTTAAAATATAAAAACAGTTTCTTTAAAAGTATATTTACTTGAAAATTAAAATAATAAGAGTACTTCAGGCCCCACGATACAGATTTCCTAGTGTGGGGTCCAAAAATAATCAAAATTTTAAAATTGCTAAAACCATAATGCACCTCAACCAATGGAAAACATTGTACTAGTTTAAGTTAAGTTTAAGAAGGTTAATTGTGTCATATGTTAATCTATTATGTAAGCATTGTGTTTTTTCAATAAAGTTTATTATTATTACTTACAATTGCCTGACATTTTGAGGCACAGCTGATCTCGGTACCTTTCTCGGTTTCGCTGCTCCGGCCATGAATTGCTGTCCAGTTTGCAGGATAAGGTCATTAAGAGCAACGACTTTCTGCCGTGGTCCATCTGGCAAGTGTATACCGCTCTGCTCAAAATCAAACAAAAACAACTCTGCAAGATGACGATCTCCGCAAGTCCCATTCTGCACTGAATTTCGTAAAGACTGATATAAACCCTTGTGTGTATTTAACCTGGAAATGAGAAAAAAGAATTTATGTAGAGCAAACCAGCCCATAGATTTTACAAATTATGATATAAAATATTTAAATACTACAGTTTAATTTTTATTTACATACTTTTCTACTACACCGCTTACACTGATGCATGCTTCTTCTGCTGCGTGTGCAAAGTGTGGTTGTGGGTGTGCTATCCTCACAAACTCTGCCAGATCGGCCACTTTACATAGTGTATCTGAGAGTTCATCAAATATGTCTACCATAGGCCGAGTAGGATTACCTGTAGCTTCCTCTATAAGACGATCTGTAGCTGCAATTGCTTGGTCTTTTAATGTATAAAAACCCTCAAAGGTTTTTAGTTCTGGTTTGTTAAAGAGACCCTACAACAATAGATCACTTTCTTTATAACTTACATCTATTTATTAATATGATTGTAATATAGGTAATCCTAAGTAACATTATTATAAAAACATTGTTATAAGTGCACTTACAGTTTTTTCCCTCAGAGTATCAAAAATAGGTCTGGATGTAGGTCTTGTGTTAAATGCAGTGGCTAGGGGCGACCAAGTGCTCACCCGCTTACTGCCCGTTACCCAAAGTGGTTTTAATGTCTTCATTATTACCCTGTATTATGTAAACCTAATATTTACGATAATTTAACTTCAAATATATCGTTGAAAATTAATCAGTTCGTCTATGAATCGTAAATTATTTATAAATAATGCTATCGTTTATGTTTTACAATTATTTCCTACTTAGAAACAAGGTTACAAACTTGTTTAACAATCAAGAACGTACGAAATAAAGTAAAACCTTTCTTTTTTCTTTATAAGATGTTTACTACCAACCTTATATAACGTGTTCAAGATATCACGGTGATTTATTTTTATAACATTTTTAATACTCTCAAAACAAAGTGTTATATTTATTTAATAATTAAAAAGCACCACAAACCCTCACCAGTCACTGTCTTAAGCCCTTTAAGTGACATTGACATTCGAGGATTTTTTTAATTGCTTGTAGTAAATACCTACACCAATAAATGTAACAAATTTCGAAACAACTTGTTTCATTCTTTTTTTTTTACAAACCGTGATATTTGTTGTACACCCATATTTTTCAAATATAGTATTGAATGTAATACATATTTTACGATACTACGAAGATTTATATGATACATAGATATAATTTTTAGTCTAAACTTCTAAAGGTGTTACTTACTACAGTCTATGAATGCAATTAGATGACTATTAATTTCTAACACAAACAAACTTGTTGATCTTCAAGTATTGACATCATGTAGACATACATATAAGTATATACAAATATTCGGTTCATTATGTAATTAAAAACATCTCTTTTTGAAAAAATAAAAATAAAGCCGGTTGAAAAGAGTATTGTAGAACAAGTAAAGAGTTACTTAAAAATGAGAAATCAAAAATATATATCGCTCACTAGATAAATTAAATATATCATAATTAACTAAAGGCACAGAAAATAAAAACCTAATACAATTTTTCCTACTATATAATGTTGGCGTTCTTATTTAAAAAATATGTGATATACTATTCACGATATATAATAATATAATATTCACGATCTAATGAGTCGTCTTCAGCTTCTTAAGCGACTGCAAATTTTAGGCAAGACATTGGTCTGGTCATTGGTAAAAATTGCATTGCATTCACTTTCAATAAAGTGAGTGAATAAATAGAATGTTTCATGTGCTTCGGGCGCTATACGGATGAGAAGACAAAAAATCTTCTTTTTACAAAAAAATCAAAACTAGATATAAATTTGGTAGTAAACACTTAGAACAGAAATTAAGATAGGGACTGAGTTATTTAGTCCAATGATGCAAAAAATAATAGACAAAACTTTACTAAGTTCAGCTTTTTGACAATTTTAAAGACCAATAATTTACCGATATTAATTAATATAATTAAAAAATTAAACTGTAGAAATAGTAATTTTGGTATTTTGATAGAGCAGAAAGACTCTGCTCTATCAAAATACCAAAATTACTGCTAAGAAGCAGTTTTTGTTTAAGTCTCATACCTGGCAAACAGACATTTCCAAACAGAAACAGTTGATAAAAGGAAAATAAAACAAAATTCTGTTAATAAATATGATATGATTTATTTATTATTATTTTTAATATAATATGTAATTAATCACTTTGATGAGCAAGTTCTGTTTTGGCACAAACTGCCAGTGATATACAAAGTAATATGTCAATAAAAAGTGTTTGTTACTGTATACACAATATCGCTTAATACTTTAATATTGAATGGATTATATGGAATAAAAAAAGTAATTTTAAAAGTAGTAATATATTCTAATTCAGACAATATAAGTTGCTTTGTTAATGTGCAATAAACTAAGGCACTAACATTTAAATAATAAAAATATGTAACAAATGTACAAAATTATATAAAATAAAACCAATTGTAATATATACACAACTAAAATAAATATGAGCATAATTTTTTACAATTATCATATTAAAGGTGAATAAAATAAAAAAAATATTACAGTAGTTAACATTCTAACTGATGTAAGAATTAGTTGTTGTTATATACTGGGACATATATTTTATTTGTATTGTCAATACATTTTAAAAGCCATAAATTTGTACTATACGCAAATGATTATACTGTTGTTAGTTACAATTTTCCTTAACATAATTCTAAAATTATCAGTGCATTTGTATCGTGTTGTTATAGCACCAGGGCATGTCTTCGCCGAATTTACATCTGTGGGCGTTGTTTTTTGCGTCGTAGAGTAGATGGTTGTCTACGTATGCGTCACACAGACTGCACCACACTGAGAGATCGGACAAAGACAGAGATAAGGGATGCTGGGCCGCCTTGAAGTGTTCCTGCATGTGACCATTCACATGTCTACCACAGGCCGTCTGGAAATATATTAATATATAATTAATTTAATTTTCAATGATATTTTTTGAGTCTTGAGACTGTTTAACTAGATAACTGCGAATTTTTTGTTTCAACCTACCTACCAATATAATATTTAACTATCGTCCGGAATAGTGTAAATAATTGTAATTACCATTGGTTAATTCCGCGTATCTGCATTGGAAGGTTTATATTTAGTGTTTATTTTATTACTAGTTGTGAAAAAATTACCTTAAAAATCGTTAATATAGCAGAATATTTCAGCTTAATCTTTCTTATGATAGATAATCTGCTTCTAATGTAGATACGCGGAATTAACCAATGGTAGTTACGCGGATTTGCATTATCTCTGAATAATGATATTATGTCGTTATACTTACAATGTAACAGTGCAGACACACCCAATTCTCTTCCACGTGATCACAGTTAATACATTTGACTCCTTGTTTGAACTGTACGCTCTCAGGGATGGCGTATAACATGTCTAGATGCGGACACCATGTTAAGGGTATTACAGCGAACATCTCCTCATTAACTATGGCCTGCATGTTCTCTGACAGATAGTCCACTAAGGTCGCGGGTTCAGTTCCCGTTTTCTCCTGTTTATTTCCACTGGGACCTGCACTTGCACTCGCGTTACTTGCACTGGCCCCGGCGCCTTCATTTTTTTTTGTTTTATTAGTTTTTTCGTCGTTTTCGTCGTCAGTGCCACAATGTATGCCGTCGGCACATTCGTTTCTGATGCTTAAATTGGATATTTCTTTCGCTAGATTATTAACGTGTGTATATCTTTTTAATTTGTCGCTGACTATCTTAGCATGATCTATATCGGGCTCGGTGTTAGGTAAGCCTCTGGATTTTGGGAGAGGGCCGATGACGTCCTCCATGGGTAAAGCTAATTGAAACTTTAGAGATTTCCAATACTTCTGATGTATTGTGATGACATTATTGATGCTCTCCACAGCGGAAGGGTTGATCGTTTGTTTGGGGTCATACTGATGTTGTATGGGATCCCCTAGCAAGGCTTTAGTACACATGGTCATGGCGTACGATATACTGTCACATTGTACCCGCCCTCCAGACATACTATGACCTTCCCCCCGGCTAGACCTCGTAACATGTGCGTCATACGTCCGTAGCACTCCGGCGTTACTTTGCAACCTGAAAAATTAAAGCCAATTATAAATTCACGTTCTATATTTAAATTTTCCAATATTTATAGAATTTTATAAGAGACTATTTCTTACTATTTCCGAGTAAAAAAGCCTACTTTAGTTCTAATGTTATTACCTCCAAGGGGATCTCCAACAGCCGCGTCGAATCCGGCCGACACTAGAACCAGCTGTGGCCCATACTCATAGGCGACCGGTAACACTACGGAACACATCGCTGATAGATACTCGGCGTCACCCATACCACGCTAAAACAACACACAATATAAATTATATAGTATAGATTATCAAAACTTCATACATTAGCCGGATACTTCTATATGACAAAAGAATTGTAAATGGGTCTAGGAGAAATTTATAGTTTGCACTTATACTAATAGATATCGTCGGTGATAGTGCAAATCCGCAAAACTACCAAAAGATAATCTTGTATCTACATTGGAAGCGGTGTATCAGAATAAGTTTAAGCTAAAATATTTTCTTAATTACCTTAGAAGTGGTTAATATAGAACATATTTCAGCTTAAACTTTCTTTTGATAATCTGCTTCCAATGTAGATACGAAGAATTATCCAATGCTAGTTACGCAGATTTGCACTATCCCCGACGATATATGTAAATATAGTGTAACATTATTTCACCATAATATATTGTATGTACGTACTTTATTCCACGGTATGTTTATATTGAACCCCTCTCCTCGGCCTTTGCCTACAGCGGTGTAGTCGGCCGCGGGGGAATTGGGGAAAAACGAGCCATTGTCGTATCGGTGGATCGATATGTATAGGATCTGAAACAATCAATATTGAACAAACATCACGTGTTAGTAGATAATAATAGTTAATATACGACGATAAATGATTGTCTCCATCTAATACTATCTTTGTTACGTATAAAGTCTTCCAAAAGTATAGAGTACGCTTTTTGTTCAACAATCACCAGAATATCTTATACATATATCTAATAACTATCTATGAGTACTGTCGATAAAATGTTATACAGTAGAAACTCGATTAACCGGACTAATTGTTGTCGGTAGGCATTCGGTTAATCAAAAATTCGGATAATCGAATGTATGAAGAAAAACCGCTTTTGTGCTTATGTAGTTCATATTAAATGTTTATTAAAAAAAATAACAAATACATATCAAGCAAAATCAATGTTTATTATTTTTTACTGTCAACCTTAGTCCTAGTTTTTATTTTTTACTGTCAACCTGAGTCCCCCACCTCTTTATCTTCATACGTGATCCTCTGCGTGCCGTTCCCGTGATGCACGTCCCAGTCCAGTATCATGATCCTGGTCAGTCCGTGGGCGGCGTGGGCGTGCCTGGCGCCCACGGCCACGTTGTTGAGGAGACAGAACCCGCTGGGCACTTCCTCGTCCGCGTGATGCCCCGGCGGCCGCACCACGCACACTCCGGAACTACCGTGACTTAGAACAGCGTCTACCATCTATAGATAACATACAGGGTGACTGGTGAATTACTATCGATACTTGAGGACGTGATCATATATGACAAAATAAAAATTAATATAACATAAATATTAATAAACTTCTAAGTAAAGTTAGCCAAAAGTTATGTAATTAATTCGCATCGTGTGAAACCCTACAGAACAACACACACACTCGCGCGCGGCAAAGTGTTGTTGTATTAGCACGCCGCCGCACGCGTCCACACTTGGAACACTTGGAACGTGTCCACACTTTATTTATTTATACGGAAATTTGGTCAAAAATTAAGTACCTTTTTTTTTACATAATTCGAATGAGAATCATGTACCGAGTATTCTCCTTAAATATTGATAGTAATTCACCAGTCACCCTGTATAAAATATCCTTATATATACATCGTCATCAGTCTATCAGAGCCCACTGCTGAGAGGCCTCTTTCTCACACGGAGAAGGTTTGAGCATTAATGCTCGCTTGCTCAAATTCAAAATAATTGTGAAACTATAAGTACTTGGTTCACGATGTTTTCCTTTATGTCAGTGGTGTCTAAATACTCTCAGAAAGTTATCCGAAAAATCACATTGTACTTGCCAGGTTTGCGTCGGCAACGAGAAGCGGGTTTAGGCCACCACTATATATGTAATTGAGATAATAATTAAGGTTATATATACATATAGATAACTGAATTATACATTATATTTTTTATATCTAATTAAGGCTTTCCGCTTGAATATTGAAATTCATTAATAGAAATCACCGTACGTTGGAACATATGCTCTAAACTTTAAAACAAATTAATATACTGACAACATTCGACGTCATTTTAATGAGTCTATAATTTTTGGCTTCGATTTTATTTAATTTAACATTAAATTTAAGAATATATGTATCAATTACCTGTATAACGGCGCCGGAAGCGGCTGAAGCGCTCTGTAATGAGTCGGGGTGGAAATATACAGAGTCGAAGGACTTCCTCTGAGTGTTCAGGTCTCGGAGTTTAGTACTAGATAATTCCTTCAGGCTGTAATATAAATAACACTCTTAATACATAATATATTTTCTACATGAATAGCGTTCATTATACCAATAAGACAAACAAAATATTCCGATAACAATTTTTGTGTGTGTGAAAGGACGATTTATTCTGTTAAAAAAAAACATACTCATACACATCTTGTCTGAAACGTCGGGAGTATGTACATAGTTATAAAATAATAAAATACGCGTAGTATATTCTGAAAAATATTAGTTTCACTAAATAAATACTCGCGAAAGTCTTAGATCTCATAAACATCATTACAGGCCGCTCGTATCAGAAGGAAGTTTATCATTCATTATATATTTTTATTCTATATACTTATATCTCCACTACATATAATATCTGTAGGCTCCTTATATACCTGTCTAGATACTTCTTAGTATGTACGGCGAGTATTTCATCGTCAGTAGCGCTCCTGGCCGGCAGGAGGTGGACTCGGTCTAACAGACCGAAGTCCCTATGTCGCTCATGGATACGCATTATACGTTCAGGACACTCCACGTGACCACTGAAACGATATATTAGTTTGTTATATATATAAATTCAGTTAATCTTTCATAATATTCAGGACTTTGACTAAAGTAAAGAGGAGAGATAAAGGCGGAGAAAATTCATGAGGTATTTAGATTCGTGGCTCAAAAAGTATTTTTTTTTTCCTAGTACATTTTATATATTATATATATAAAAATAATAATAAGAAATAACTTACGGCTCACAAACATTATGATGCTTCAACATGACTGGGTCGTAGATGTAGCACACGGCGTGCTTGGGGAAACTGATGTCCGTCACTGGAAATAATAATATATTATTACATGATCACGACGAATTACTAATAACTATCATGCAATATTAAGCCATCTTCAGCCTTATTCACTACGAATAAGGTTCATATTTAATTGTATTAAAAATATTTGTACCCAATTGCAAGTGATTCAGTCTTTCGTTAACCCTCCTCTTGAATTCATCGTCCTGTAGCGGGTAACAGTTCCTAGTAGCGAACCTCTCAGCCCTAGTTTCATCTCCCTCCCACTTCATGACCACTGTATGCTGACCTCTCGCTCGCTCGCCCGTGTTCAACACGGAGGGGTCTATGCTGTAGGTCGGCTGGTTGTTGAAGCATCTCCAGTGTTTCTTGTGTGAGTATATACAGTTCAGAATTGAATCTCGTATCCTGGAATATATATTTTCGTCAGAAAGCTCGTGTAGTATTTATTAGACAATTTTGTTGGAATACATAGATAGTAATAGCTAGGGGAAAAAGTCTTTTCGCATTGTATGTATGAACTTGTAATAAAATCTCTTTGGCTGTAGTATTTGTATCTGGCTGGTTTTGTTATTATTAAAGAGTTAAAATTTTAAAGAACATAATTCCAAATACAAATCAGGCAAATGTGTGATTTTCATTTGTTTTTCGTACTGTCAAGATGAGTGAATCTAGTGAAGAAATTCGATACATTTTAAAATTTTACTACAAAAAAGGTAAAAATGCAACGCAGAGCCGCGAAAAAATTTGCGATGTTTATGGACCTAGTGCAGTGTCTGTGAGAGTAGCACAAATTTGGTTTAGGCGTTTTCAATCCGGATATTTTGATGTTAGAGATGCACCTCGCTCTGGTCGCCCTATTACGGATAAAATGGATGCTATTTTTGAAAAAGTAGAAGCAAGATCGACATATTAGTAGTTACGACGTAGCTTAAGAACTGGGAATTGATCACAAAACAGTTTTGGCGCATTTGAAAAAAGCTGGGTACAAAAAAACGCTCGATATTTGGGTACCTCACGAGCTCACTGAAAGAAACCTAATGAACCGTGTACTTATTTGTGATTCTTTATTACGACGTAATGAAACCCAATCATTTTTGAAGAAGCTGATAACTGGTGATGAAAAGTGGAACGTGCGAAAAAGTTCGTGGTCAAAGGCCGATCAGGCTTCACAGACTGTGGCGAAACCCGGGTGAACTCGCAATAAGGTGATGTTGTGTGTGTAGTGAGATTGGAAGGGCATTATTCATTATGAGCTATTACCACCAGGCAGGACTATCGATTCTGAACTCTACTGCGAACAACTGATGAGATTAAAGCAAGAAGTTGAGAGAAAGCGGCCGGAATCGATCACCAGAAGGGCTGTAGTGTTTCATCATGATAACGCTAGACCTCACACATCTATAGCCACTCAGCAAAAATTAAGAGAGTTTGGCTGGGGGGTGTTAATGCATCCGCCGTTTAGTCCTGACCTTGCACCTTCAGATTTCCACCTGTTTCGGTCACTTCAGGATTCTTTAGGCAATGTTAGGTTAACATCACGAGGGGACTGCCAACTCCACTTGTCGCGGTATTTTGATGAGAATCCCAAAATTTTTATAGCAAAGGGATCATGTCCCTACCTACAAGATGGCAAAAGGTTATCGAACAAAACGGTCCATACATACTTTAGTTAAATTTAAATAAACTATATTAAAAAATGTTTTGAATTTTCTTAAAAAATGCAAAGAAACTTTTTCCCCAACTTATTATTATTGGTATCACAGTATATTTATATATAAGTGTTTAGGGACTAACAAATATCTTAGAATATACATATGTATAATAAATAAATAATATGAAGCCTTGAAAATGTTTTCCTTTTTATATATATTTGCCGCATGACACACACACATATATATGTGTATATATATACTCACGAGTCGCATGGTTCTTGTAGAGGCGGTAGGGCGGGCGGCGCGTGTCCCAGCAGCGTCCTCAGCGTGAGGGCGGCGCCCTCGGCCAGCGAGCGGAGACAGTACCCGCCCTCCAGCAGCACCAGTACACGGGGGCACACGCCCTGCAGCATGTGTAGGAGGGATGCGTAACACGCTGGTGTTACTTCCATCTCACCCTAGATATAGAAAAGGTTTACTATCATATATATATATATATATATTAGATTCAAAGTGAGTAAATTTGACATCAATTACATGCGTCTTAGTTTACAATTTAGATTTATATTGTGCGAAAAATTATCATGCTCTTTTTTTATAGAAATTAACCTTTATTAAGTTTTATGATATAGAAAAACATTTGTGTTATTAAATAGTCATAATCAAAACAAAAATGTACACATAATCATATTACATTTAAAAACACACCATGCTATATACGTACACTTTACCTTATTTAGTACAGTAATGATGTTCTTCCTTCGACTTCCTTAATCTACTAAATAGATGTATGAAAAAAATAAGACTTACCTTCTCATCACCGAGTGCTGCATCATAACCAGCTGACACTATGATCAGTTCTGGGGAGAACTGTAAGAGATGGAGCGAGATAGAAATAGAGAAGCATCGTGCAAGAGAGAGAGAGTGAGAGAGTGCGAGAGAGCGAGACAGATATAGTTCATGCGAAGCGTCGTGCAAGAACCTGCTGAGAGAGAGCGAGACAGATATAGTTCATGCAGTGTGTGTTAACGTAATATGATACCTCAGGACAGCCGAGTGCGGCGTCGTATCCCGCTGACACAAGCACCAGTTGCGGTTGGTACTGACAGACAATAGGGAAGTATTATATATAGGGGTCATGTTACACTGGTTATGTTCTATACACTTATAACATACATGTGATTGTCTAGCGTATTATAGAAATAAAGTTTGTATGTTGAAGTGATATACTGGTATGATATAGAAAATATTAATAAAATATTGGTACATCTCAAAATAGTGGTAAGTGAGGATTATTTTTATCTTTAGTATATAATGCTGGGTAAAAATGTTTATGGAAGAGATGTTGGGACTATGTGTGAAATGTTTGTATCTTTAACTTATAAACTTACAATATATATTGTGCCGTTTTATTAAAATTTTATATATTACTGGTGAATTACTATCAATATTTACATATAATGATTTGTAAGTTTATAATTTTTGACAAAAATAAATAAAAAATATATAAAAGCGTTCAGGTAAAACACGCCCCCGCTGCGTATGTTATATTATACCTAACAATGCTGGTAACATACTTAGAAGTTTTAAATATTTAGTGATTTTATTTTGTTTTTCTCAAACAATCAATTCCAAGTTTGAGTTTTGGAATGCGGTAAAGAAAATTTATGCAACCAATTTGGTCGTTAGATTTTTTTATATCAAGATCAAAAACTTCTATGACATCTTGAAAACAAGTCTCATATACTAGTATCTGTTTTTATACATCATATATAGTCCTTATTAACTCCTACCTCATAAGCCATGGGTAGTAACAGCTGATGCCATATCGCTATATAATCAGCGTCAGTCATGCCGGTTCTATTGAGAGGCACATTGAAGTTATAACCCTCGCCCGCCCCGCTGCCTGTGTAAGGGAAGTCCGACTGTCGCAGGTTGGGCCAAAAAGACCCGTGTTCGTAACGATGGATCGAGAAGTACACCACTCTGAAGGGTTAAATTATTATTGAGAGTCACCTACAAAAACCCATAGGTCTGTAATGATTAAGGTTATTTAAATTAGAAGATATGTCAATAATCATTATTGATAGTGTTTGTTTTTCATTAAAAAAGATGTTGAAGGAATATTGTTGGTAGACAAAATTACTCTGAATGTAATTAATAATTAACATAAATATATACTGATTCTAGATATTAGCAGATTTTAGTGTGTCATACCCAATAAATATTTTATAATATACAGAATTTTAATATAAGTCTCTAACCTCGGATCGTCGTAAAACATTTGTTGTGTCGCTTGTCCGTGATGCACGTCCCAGTCCACTATTAATATTCTGTGACACAAAATAACATTATAATTAATCTCCAAAGTTGTCATATGAAATCAAAGTTTTACATTATCAGTAAGAAATTTCAATCTACCAAGTTGGTAAAATAATACAGCTGCGTGCAAAAGTATTAGGCACCCCTATTGTTAGTCACTATCTCATTATATTGCGGTCACGTGTGTGTTTTATGGTTTAGCTATTGTATTAGCGGCAATTTTTAACCAAATTAAGATAAAAGAAAATATTTATGACATCCAGGTGTGCTCCTAAGCGGTGTTTCTTCGAATTTGCTTTTTTTGCGTTTCGGGTTATAGTGTGTTATCAGTGCTTGCAGTGAACATACACGTCTTCTACGCAACTATTCCTATCACAATTCTAAAGACTAACATTTAACGTGTTAATCATGCCGAAAAAATCTGAACTTAGTGCTGAACAGCGTCTAAGAATTAAGATTTTACATGAACAAGGCATGTCTCAGGTTAAAATAGCCCGAGAAGTGAAGTGCTCGCGATGTGCAGTTCAATATGCTATAAATCGCTTTAAAGAGACTGGCACCCATGAAAATAGACCAAGAACAGGCAGAAGAAAAGTTACTACTGAACGGGAAGATCGATTGTTGATTAGGCAGTCTCTACAAAACAGGAAAAAAACTGCTTCAGAGCTCGCTGCAGCATTATCTGAGGCAAAAGGCAGCTCAGTGAGTGTTTATACTGTGAGAAGAAGACTTCTTAAAGCTGGATTAAAAGGATGTAAAGCAAGGAAGAAGCCGTGGCTGTCAGAACACAATAAGAAAAATCGGTTGGAGTGGGCACTCAAACATAGAGATTGGTCAGTGGAAGATTGGTCCAACATACTGTGGTCAGACGAATCTAACTTTGAGGTATTGTTATTTATTTTATGTACAATATTAAAACACCATAAATGTTTTTAAAATAACGTACTGCAAGAAAAATAATAACTTTGAAAATAAATGTGTTTTTTTCCTTTGGCATAGGTGTTTGGAACACCCGGTGTGACTTATGTTAGGCGAAGGGTTGGCGAAGAATACAACCCAGAATGTGTGGTTCCCACTGTTAAGCATGGTGGAGGCTCAATAATGATCTGGGGCTGCATGGCTGCCGACGGAGTGGGCGAAATGGTGTTGTGTGAGGGACGAATGAATAGTGTTAAATACACTGAAGTTCTGGAAACAGCACTAGCAACGTCGATTACGCAAATTTTCGGTGATACAAACACCGATGGCCTGAAATTTCAGCAAGACAACGCCACTTGCCACAAGTCCGCGCATACCATGAAGTGGTTTGCTGAAAATCATATTGATCTTTTGGACTGGCCACCACAATCACCAGACCTCAACCCGATTGAGCATATTTGGTCCATTTTAAAGAAAAATATCCGCAGCCACTCGATTAGCAATAAACAAGCTCTATTGGCCGCGTTACAGCAGGAATGGAAAAATATATCAAGAGAAGAATGTTTCAGGCTGGTAGAGTCAATGCCAAAAAGAGTGGCTGCGGTTATTAAGTCAAAAGGTGGACCTACAAAATATTAATTATTTTCTTAAAATAAACCATTGTAATCATAAATGCAGTTTTATTTAGACTCGCTATGCTAAAACACCCTAAAACTTGTCTTACTGTAGGGTGCCTAATACTTTTGCCCGTGGCTGTAGTATGTATGTATATTGGTATCCATATTTTTTCCTATACAAATCACCTGTCTTTCAACACAGATTCACTATTTTTTCCTTTCTTAACGACTTATTACCGTCGTACCAAAGAAAATTACCTCTGTAGTCCAAGTTTGAGCGCCCTATTCGCGGCTAGGGCTGCGTTGTTGTAGATACAGTATCCGCAGGGCTCCGCCCTCATGGCGTGGTGTCCCGGCGGCCTTACCATACACGCGGCGTTCTGGAGCTCATCGGAGACCAAGCGTTCAACCATATCCAGGGTACAACCAACAGATGATAACGCCAGTTCGTGTGTACTCTGTAAATATGATTTTTGGTTAGAGCTAAATGTATGAAAAATAATGGTTATTCTTAAATATTATGCAACAATTTTGCGAAATAAATTAATATCTATAGCAGTAAAGTAGGAAAATAATCACAGATTATAAAAAAAAATCTATCATGATATATTAAATGTTGTTAAAACATTAGAAATACTTAATAAACTGTGACAACGAACCCATTACTACTTTTATAAAAATGAGCTCTTTCACATAGCTTTTTAGAACATGACGGATAGCAATAAGTAAAATTAACTCGATAAACATACAGGGTGTATATAAACCGCATCGAAACCAGCAGACAATTCCTCCAAATACTCCAGGTCTTGGTTCTGATGGGTTCCCTCCATCATGCTGTAGACAGACGGCGCGTGCAGTTCCAACACCTCCTCACGAGTTGCGTTCCTCGGAGGAAACACTTTACACTGCTCTATTAGATGCAGTTCCTGACACCTGCACGTCAGAAAAAATCCTTAAAATCAAACAATATGTACCAAACAAAACTTCAACAGTTTTATTAATGAAATAAATCAGGTATCAACATAAATTGGTCGCACAAAAACTACTACATACTAGTAAACAACAGTTCTATTAATATGTTATGTATCAAAATATAATGGTTATTCAAACTCCAGTAAAGACATACCTATTAATGACACTGATCAGCCTCTCGGGACACTCAGGATAGTTATCATCCCACAGGCATCGGTGTTCAGACATCCGAGGGTCAGTTACAAAGCCTGTAGCACCCTTCACTCTGAATTTGGACTCCATGGCCTGGGAATAAGACATATTATTATATATCACTAGCTTTTGCCGCGACTTCGTCCGCATGGAAGTGACTTGTGACTTCCGGCAGATTTTTGGTTCTTCCCACATAGTTTCCGTTCTTGCGGGGTTTTCGGAATGGTCGAGTTCCCGTAGAATTTTCAGGATAAAACCTATGTTTTTTTATTAATAATGAAGTACTCTTAACCAACAACATATTTATTTGTTAATAAGAATAAAGATTAATATTATTATTTTGATACAACTTAAACAAATTATTTCGATATAATAAGTTACCATAAAATGGGTTTTTGTGAGGGTGATGGTGAAAACTAGACGATACTGTCGCTGACGTGATTTTTTAGATCATATATGACAAGAGCTAAAATTCTTTCATACATATTTTTTGTGTAATGAAACGTTCTAAGTACGGCGCACGCAACGGAAGGCTTCAAAGTGAAATAATTTCGCATCGTTTTTTACACCCTACAGATTAGGTATCTTTGCTCCTACATACGCGTGCGGCGGCGTGATGTTATATAGCCCACAGCCTTCCTCGATAACGCGTCCAACACAAAAAGAATTATTCAATTCGAAACGTGTTTCGGAGATTAGCGCTTTATTTATTTAAACGGACAAACTCTTCAGCTTTATAATATTAGTCTAGATTATCACACTGCCTATAGTGTATTTACTAAATAATTTTGTAATGACTGCAGAATGTACCGAGTATTCGCTAACTTTTAATTTTATAAGTAAATTGTGGATAACCATGTGACCCTGTATATTAAAAAAAAAATATTAAAATTGTAAAAAATCTAACTTTTAAGCAATGTTGATATGAAACTCAAAGAAAACATTATTGAATAAATACAAAATGATAATTAAATATTAATTTAATTCAAAAATGCAAGGTTTCTCGACAAAATATATCATAGAAATATATAAATAAAAAAATGCAATAAAAAAATAATAATAAAAGGTATATTATTCTTACTGTTTGATAAGGATCTCGTAAAACTGTGTCCATTGTTAATTTTTTCTTCTGCTGAGCCTTTCGCTTGGCGGCCACCACAGACGCTGACGGCTGTTGTATAATAAAAAATATTAAATAATCTCCACACTCTTATCATATTTATCACGTATTTGTATTTACATTGACAAGCAAACACTCACACCTACACCTGTTATTAAACTGATACAAATGAAAATTATCTGTTACTTGTATTTAATAAATATACTTAACTGAAACCAATATTTTTATTGTTATACTATGTGTACTTTAATATTGTAAACTACATTAAAAACGACATACTCCCGACTTATCGGTTACTTTTCAGAAATCATGATCATGAGCAGACAGGATGTAAAAAAATATATTTAGATCTCATATAAAATATGACGTATAATACAAGTCTAAAACAACCAAAAACTGATAGAAAAGCCTAATTATACCATAATTTTTACTATATTTATTTAAATACACACAATACCCTGCTTTGAGATCTTAGTATGCAGTTGATAGATGTCTCCTTATCAGTACTTCTAAATACATACATATATATATGTATGTTTGGTTATATAAACTATCTTTGTTATTACCAGACCTTATTTATATACTTAACACTATCTTTATTATTTAAAATATATATATACATAACAATATCTAAAAAACAGATTTCTATTTTAAGCATTTTTGACAATCTAAGGTGACATAATAATAAAAAGGCTTAAATAAGTTTATGCTCTCAGTAGTAAATGACATACATATGTCAAAACACTTATTTAAATGAATTTCACATATCATTATGTACTTTCTTTTCTTTAGGTTGTTAATGTCCAAAAAAAAAATACCAATCCACACGGAGCAAATCAATATTGATGAGTCAAAAAATATATATAAATATACATAGTAATATTTTGCTGGTAAAAAAGAAATTGAGAATGTTTGTAAGATATACATATAACATAGAAAATAAAAAAAACTACTTTGTTAAATTAGTACTTAAAAAAGTATATATCTCGTATATCTACATTGTATATCAACATATGTATATGTGTTATCTCAATTAAAAATGTCGGACACAATTTCCTAATATTTAATTTTAATCTGATATTTTTTTATTTACATTGACTTCCTATATATTTGTTTCCTTATGATTAAAAAAAATATTTAAAAGAAATTGCCATTCATATGATTTTTTTAAGATTTGCCTCCTTCTGAGTTTTAGTTCAATATACATATACAAAATAAAATTACAATATAAGCAGAATCTTAAAATGTGAATGATCCAAAGAAGTGTTTTAGAAGATTAACATGTTTATGATGAAAGCCAAAAATGACTTAATTATAAAACTTTTAGGTTAATCCAAGGTCAAAACCAAGGTTTGAGGAATTCTGAAGATAATGTTTCTGAATTTCAACATGTTTTCAGTTGTTTATTCAAATAAATAACCATCTTATGTACACAAACATATATTGATAATATTTAAAGATTTAATTCTATACAGAGTGCACTTAGATTGATGTGATAAACTCCTTGTTAGAGCCGTCACAGAAGTTAAATAAAGAATGCAGTGAAAATGTTTCTTCAATACAGAATAGAGGAGAAAATCTGTATATGACAAATATCAGGGATTTCTGACCAACAGAATACAAGACCGTAAGATGATTTAAGTTCTTGAATCATTAATGGTAAGGAACAAAAAAGGTATATAATTTTTTAATAATATTGTTATGAATGGTGTACTTGCAAATAAGTAAAAAATCATTTGAAAAAATATTGGCTATAAAACATCTAATATGTGTTATTTTTAAACAATTTAAAATATCAGACCTTTAGGGTGAGTAACTCATTGAGATCAAATTTTTAAAGTTAATAAAAAATAAATTTATCATTATTTACACTTCTAAATAGCAAAACTATAAACAGTTATCAAGCACAAAAATCTTCTAAAAAGAAAGGTCATTAAAAAATAATTAAATGGAATTCTTTGCAAACTTTTAACCTTAGAATTGATACATTGAATACTAATGAAATCTTATTTTCAAGATACATGTACATCTTCTTAAAAGTTTAAGTTATGTCATGAATCAATTTTGAATATCTCTCATTTTATGGTTAAAATTGTCTCCTGCAATTATCTTATACCCAAAATAAATATTAAGAAAAAAATATATAATAACGCCTACCTTTGCTGCTGCCATAGCACGTGTCTGTATTTTGGCTTTCCTAGCACCATTTCTTGTAACTATAGATGAAGGAGATGTCTTTTTAACCTCACTAGCGGCACGACGAGCCGGAGTCGGCGAACTCGAGTTCGACTAAAACACATCACACTTTATAAACAAACCAACCAACTGCTTAAATTAAACGAGATTAACAATAAACTGTTTACCATCGCTATAAATTAAAACCTAATTATTATTTCAGGTACAAAAAATATATTGTTTACTATGTTTTATTTTATAGAACACACATTATTTAATAGAAGAAGTAGAACAGGCAAAAACAATAATTTTGCAGTATTTTGACGTTTGGCAAAACTTGATGTGACCTTTTGACGTATAGTTACTTTTTAAGGATAGCATTTGTCTTGAATTTTGAAACTTTATGACAAACTAATAGTGAAATAACTACTTTCTGATTATTTTCGTTAAATAATATTTATAAAGTTTATGTTACTTTTTTAAGTAAAAAAGTAAAAATATTCAGATTTAGATTATTTTTTCTGAATTTTTCTTTATTATTATTACGTATTCATATAAATCAAGAATTTTATTTTAATTTCATTTAAAGATCAGTAAAGTTTTTCATGAGGAAGAAGCATTTACATTGCGCTTTAGTCAAAAGTTAATGGTTTTGTCAAATGTCACTATACCTATAGTAGCTCGCTGCACGAGCCTCGTCGGTTCGTCTCAAAATGATTATATACCAATCGTTATCATTACCAAAGATTACCAATGTAGATTTATGATAACAAGTCACTCTTATCAGTACAAAAAGGCGCGTAGAGATAATGTATTTGAATACCAAAATTTTTAAAGCAATAGCTTTTAAACCACCTACACCCTTGCCTTTGTCCTACTGGCTTCTAATTTTAGTGAGATTTCTATTAACATTGTTGCCACAGACAGGGTACATCCATCCAGATGAATATTTTCAAAATGTAGAAGTTTTAGCAGGTATATATCTAACCAAATTCATTTCATATAAATATATTTTAATATACTAATCTGATTATATTTTTTTAGGAGATATTTTAGGAACAGATGTGGCCAGAACATGGGAATTCAATCCAAAATTTCCTATAAGGAATATATTTGTACCAAAACTTATTTTAGCTCCACCATTACATTTTATCAGAATAACAAATCCCTACACAAAACACTTTTTAAATATTGATTTAAGAACACCATATTACTTGCTTGTTTTACCTCGTCTGTTTATTTGCTTCTTGTCACTTATTAATGATTTTTGTCTGTACAAGATATGTGTTAACTATGGACAAAATTTTAGAAATAGACTTACCATTTTTGCAAGTTCATATGTGATATTGGTATACTGCTGCAGAAGCTTTTCAAATGCATTTGAAACAATATTTTTCTCCGTCCTTCTGTGGTTGGTGTCAGAATGTATGTTGAAATCAGACAAAGTGATCTACCATGATGAATTTTTAAATAAAAAATATAAGGAGGCCAGTACGCCTGTAGAGAGAGTGAAAATATTTAAACTCAAAACTCATTTACCGGGGCACTCTTTGAATTGGGTGGCTGTGTTAGCAACTGTAGTAGTAATTGGCATATTCAATAGACCAACATTTGTCGGCTTTGCTTTCCCTCCAATATTCTTTTGGTTACATAGAGGGCTGGGGTCAACTGTGGTTGGATTTAAAGACTTCCACTATAGAATGATAACATTTATTTTATGTGGAATACCCATTACCTTGTTTCTAATATTAGTAGATTCATATTACTATGGATATTTAACTATGGCTGATATTGAATCTTTGAAAATATCATGGGATAATTGGGTTGTTACTCCTCTAAATTTCCTAAGATATAATACAAACATGGGGAACTTGAGTGACCATGGCATTCATCCTCGCTGGCTACACATCATTGTTAATGTACCACTTCTGTTCAATGTTCTTGGCATCATAGCTATTATTGTTTTAACAGTTCACATTTACAGGTAAGATATTGTTATCATATATATTTAAAAATCAATTTAATATTTGCCTTAAAAAATATGTTTTCCTTTCAGATTTCCTTAGAGGACAATACAAAAAACTCCCAAGAATCCAAAGCATTATGGGTCTAATGATGTTCTCTGTGGTAGTCCCAGTTGCCGCTCTGTCTCTCTTCCCCCATCAAGAAGCGCGCTTTATTATACCAATTTTACTACCTCTGGTCTACTTGTACGGAAATTATTTGTACCCCAACGAAAGTGATGGTCCGAGGACAATGAAACTGAAAACATCATTACGATATGTATGGTACACCACAAACATTATATTAACAATCTTTTTTGGGTTCATTCACCAGGCTGGTATATACCCATTAGCAAACAGTCTGCATCACGAAATAAAGAGTACGTATGGGCATCACATGCACGTCATCACCACACACAGCTACAGTATACCAACGTTTTTATTGCAATTAGAGAGTACGACACGTGTTTATAAGGATCGTAGTACGGGGCGAAGATATCGTTTGGCACCCACCACGTTCCTACACAAATATGGATCCATGCCCATTAACGAACTCTTCACAAAGATAGACAAAACTCTATCAAACGCAGAAGAGTTACTGCATAAACAAAAAAGACAATACAGGTTTTACGTCGCCTCACCCTGTTCTTTGGAGCAGAAAATACGCGAAGAGAATTCTAGATATCCCTACATTGATATAGAAGAGGACTTTTCTATCTACCCGCATTTTAGTTCAGAAGCTCTACCAGAGTTTCCAAGTAGACGTGACCAATACTGTTCAGGACAGAATCTCAAGCTGTTAAAGGAATCTCAACGGATTGATTTGACTTTGTATCAAAGAATCTCATGTTACTTGAAAAGGTTCTGCCTCAGGGTCTATAGAGTAACGCCATCTAAAAAGACACATTTTTAAAACTTAGAAAAGACAAAAATTAAAAAAACATCAATGAATAATTTTAATAATGCTTTTTTTAATTTTTTTGTCGTGTTTTATAGACAATATGGAAATATGCTATACATACATGATTTATTAGAAAAGCTTTACGAGAATAAAAAGACACCATTGTTACTATTGGAGAATGTATAAAGACTACCTATTTTATTGTTAAATTTTATTTATGAAGTTTGTACGTAAATTATGAAATGTATTTAATTTTTTTTTGTGATTATTTCTTCTTATAAAGCGCTATTGTGTATATTGTTTACATTTTTTTTACATTCCATGTTTTCGACTAAATTATAGCTCATTTACGGCTTTAAATATTTTGTTTTAATAAAGCTTATAATGGAAAACTGCTTTTTAATTTATAGCTTAAACATCGTCTTTTTATGACAGTAATTAATATCATTATAACCATAGGTTTAACATTTATAATATAGTAGTGTGGGCCTCACCTAATCCCCAGACACAGTGTGATTATTAAATTCAATTTGAAACATTAACTTAAAATCAGTTATTATTATTCCACGACTACACTTCGTTTAGTAAACATTGCTGAAACTTTTAAGCTCCCCTTTTTGGGTCTCGTTTGTACCTTATTTGATTTCTTTAATTTACTTGAAGCTATCCGCATTTCTAATGACAATCAATTATTACGCAAAATAATACCGAAATTCTTTCGTTTTTTTTAATTTATTAAATTGTCATGAGGTACTTTAGTCTTTACATATTTGAAATGTATTACTTAATCATTGTATGTATTGTATGTATGACCTTCTTATCTTAAAGAATCGTTTCTTATCATATTGAAGAAGAAAGAAAAAAAAATCACCGAAAAAACCATAATTGCGAAGGATGTCGAATTCAGTTCGTATGAGCTACTTCCGATTTCATTCTGTTTGTCCGTACAGTACATATTTTTTATTAAATATATTGTTTAAATTAGTTAATGTTTATTTATATGTATATATAAATTCAAAATATGTAATTGAATTTGAAAAGCTATTTGTACATGACTGTGTGATAGGGTTTAAATGTCAATTAACAAATGTCAGTATCGGCTAAGTTGCTTACTGAAAGTCAGCTGTTCACAGTGTTCTAATAAACTTTGACTCGTCTCTTTAAAATACCTTTCATCAAAGTTATTTTTATATACAATTGTTGCTTCTATGCAAATATGAAAAAGCACGAAGAAACCGTTAGATGTGCTATAAATATGTGTTTGAAAGTAATAAAAAGCTATGAATGGTTGTCGGATCTATACGTTTTAGTAAGTTCATATATGATATTATTCACTGAAAAAATATCATAAATACTAATTGAATTATTTTATGACAGGATTTCTTCGTAGATAATCATTGGAGTAAGCTACCGAAATGTTGGCAAACTTGTTTTAATGATATGGATCCCAAAGACTTAGGATATATTCTATCAGGACAGCAAAGTAAACATATGTTGCCTTTATCTTTTTTGGCTCTTAAAAAATCAATTGATGTTTTAAGTATACCTCGTTTAAGTTCATATAAAAGCAGCACTAATAAATCATATAATGTAAATCATGATTGGACTGACAATGTGAAATTTAAAAATCTATTTTTGAAGCATGTTGAAGTTAAAAAAGAGACATGAAATCAGTGTAATGTCAGATTTTGTTAACAACACTGTGAAAAAGGCAGCTTGTAATGCTGTTTTGGATTTTGGATCAGGCTTGGGACATTTAATAAGAATCTTGAGTTACAAATATAACATACAAACTATTGGAATTGAAATGCAAACCAAATTGACTTCAGAGGCTAGGTCTGTATTCTTGGTATGTATATTTCACAATGATTATTATAGAGAAATGAGTAAATATTATTATAAATAAATTACTGATCATAATAAAATTTTTCAGAAAACTAGACTTAGAATTGGAGTACACAGTTAAAAAATATCTTACAGAAGAAGAGATGTCTAAGCTCATTAGGCCCAATCATATCAACCTAACACTATCTTCATTACAACAATTGGCAGAGATACCTTTGAATACTAAAAAGTATGGCTTGATTGGTTTACATCCTTGTGGAGATTTAGGACCATTGTTGATAAAACATTTTGTAAATACTGGTGATGTAAAATTCATTTGTATTGTTGGTTGTTGTTTCATGAAGTTATCATGCAATAAAGAACCTTGTGGCTATCCAATGAGTGAATATCTTAAAGGCCTGAACAATGATCTGTCCTACTTCAGTAGAGAAATAGCTTGTCATGCTATCGAGACATACTGCAAAAGATTATGTAATGGTGACTATAATGATTTGAAGGTAGGTTGATATACAAAATCAATTTGCTTTGTTGATAAATATATAAAGATTATTATATGTATATTTGTAGGTGCATGCATATAGAGCTGCCTTAGAGAAACTTTTACAACAATTGGATCCAAAATTGATGCACATGCCTGTAAGAAATGTCAAACATACAAACAATATGACATTTGAGGAGTGAGTATTATACTTGTTACATAATATAATAATTTATAATAGTTACCAATATAGTGGCAAATTTATGGTAGGGCAACAGGCAGATTTATTTATTTTTTTGCAATATGATTGATCTGCTACCAAAATTTTAATTATAAATGTTTGTAACATACACTCCAGATATGTGGCAATATGTTTGAAGAAATAGTAGCAAGTTCAGATGTAAAAGCTATTAATATTCTTAGCAAAAGTATCAGTAACATAAATTCTCAATAATATGCATTCTTCTTCTACCTGGCAATTTTTCCAGCTATAGCCAGGGTCTGCCTTACATGTTGTGAATGGTTTTGGCTATTTGTTTTTACGACCGGCCGTCTGCCTGACATCAACCCTCTTTTGGGAATCAACATTAATCAGTGATGTCTAAATATTCTTAGAAAGTACATATGATTCGGAAAAATCACATTGGTACTTGCCCGGGCCAGGATCGAACCCGCGCCCTCGGCAACGAGAGGCGGTCCCTTTAACCACTGGGCCACCACTGACGCTCAATAATATGCATTGTTATTAAATTTTTTCAGGTATTGTGCTGCAGCATTACATAAGCTATCAATTGACCCATTGAACAGTTCAGATGTTGAGACAGATTTACTGCAATGGAAGAAAGTTGTAGTGCTCTACACTCTTAGACTGGCTATAGCACCTCTAGTAGAGACACTTATATTACTGGACAGAGTTCTTTTTATACTGGAACATGGTATGACATAGTTTTAAAAAATATCACATTCTCATCATAGACATTTATTAGAAGAAAATACATCAACTTACATTTACACACAACTTATTTACAATAACAATTCACTTGATAACAACAAAAGCTGGGTATAATTTGGCACATTAAATATTTAAGAAACAAACTTAAAGCTAAAGTGGTAATGATTGGTCCATTTGGGAAGGTTTTTGGATTGGCTCTGGTGATTGTTTTGGTATTGATTACTAAGAAAGATATAGTATTTTTATAACAACATATTAATAATTAACAATATATTTGGTTAATGACTAAAATTACTTTCACTACTATTGCGAGGCCACACTGTTTATTTGTTTGTATGGTTAAAATACTTGTACTCAGTCTAATTTATAATTGGAATGTGTATAATTTTACATAATATATTTATGATCTGCCACCATCTATACCAGGTGTTTCCAATCTTTTATACACTAATACTGTTATAATATGTAATATTAGTACCGCAGTAAAGCACTTGAGATGGCAAAAGATTGGAAACTCCTGATCTGGATAAATAACTAAGACTGATCGAAATGTTTATATATTACAGGCATTTCCTGCACAATACATCCTGTTTTCGATCCAGAAATATCGCCACGAAATCATATAATTGTGGGAATAAAATGACTATGTGAAACTTTTGTAATATATTAATAATAAAAATATAATTAACAATGTTAAATTATTAATTTTATTGAATTTTTTAAAATTTTTTATATAATTCTCATTAAAACAAATGAATCATAATTTTTTCAAGATTTGTTTTTGAAAATTCGGTGGGATTAAATGTATTGCTCATTATCAAAGTTTTTTTTTTCAACTTTAGTTATAAACAAATTTCACAAGCTGTGATTACATAGTAATTATACGATTCAAATTTAGGCACTATTTACAACGCTTAAAAGGGCGTAATTTACCTCATATATCTCTTAGATTCCAATGTATATAGAAATAGTATTTTGTGAAGTTATCTGTGCTCACATGACATTATTTTTCTACTTACTACTGTGAATGATATGCCTTGCTTTAAATGCGTCATAATATGTCGGATACATTAATATGACATTGAGTAACGATTGATTTTATTGCAAACTTGGGAGACGGATTTGATTTTAGCTCAAGTCTTTTATTCTATAAATATAGGTGCACTATTCTCGTAATCCAACTTAGATTTATAACATTCACAGATATGCTATTTGTAGGCCGTTTCGTGTTAGTTGTTAAAATCTTATGGAGTTGTGGGATATTTTCACAATAGTTATACTGTTGGCGGTAACATTGGTGCGGGCTCATCTTCTGAATCATCTGAGTGCACTCGTGTAAAGCGCCGCCTTTCCAGCAGCCGGCGTAACTTGAACTGGCTGTGATCGTATTCCCAACGACGTCGACCGACAGATTTTCGACCTGAGGTTCATTTTTTGTTGGTTAAGTGATATAGAAGATTTTAGAATAATTAGCTAGGTGTGTGTTGATAATCCTAAGCAAAAAATAAATATATATAGTCTTGGTACCACCATCAAAAATTAGTAAATTCGTAGAAACAGTATACAGTATTTTAAGGTGGAAGCCTAGCTGTGGTGAGTTACTACAGCTTGAACATGGGCTGGCTCGACCGGGGAAGTACCACCCTCTCACAGAAGATCGGCGTGAAGTAGCCTTTATTGGCTGCGTTTCGTCTGATGAGTGAGAGAGCCGGTTGCCCTTTCCCTATTCCTAACCATTTCCTTTCCTTATTCCCACCCTTCCCTATCCCCAAAAAACAAGGCTGGCAACGCATCCGTAACAAAATGTTGCGGATGTCCATGGGCGACGGTAACCACCTTCCATCAAGTGGGCCGTCTGCTCGTTTGCCACCTTTCACATAAAAAAAAAAATACTATTGTAAATTGCATTGCAATTTATCAAACTGTTGAGTTACTTACCAAATCAAATTGATTATTAGTTTCCAATGAGGACCAGAATCAGAAGCAAAAACATTACTTTTATCAATAGAATAAAAATTTTAAATAAAAATACTATGTCCAAAAATATGAAATTCGGTTTTGTTTGCCCTTGATATTTGTCAGTTTTGTATTGATTCATGAAGCACGCTAGAGAATATTTTCCCTTCAAATAATATTTGCCCTTGCCCCTGCGTTCAGTCTTACCTTGTATATTAAATAAAAACAACACAATTGTGCAAAAATAAAAAATATAATGCAAAAAAAAGGTGCAGGAAAAAAAAACACAAAAAGCTATTCAAGATATTTTAATAAATATTTCTTACATTACACAAGTTATACTTAATACCAACTTGCAAATAATAATAAAAATAATTCACAAATAAAATAAATACTTAAACTAGGCAGAACAAAAATCAGATCATAGATGTTTTACAAAAAAAAAGTAGTTGCAACATAAAATAATCGTGAGAATGGTCCCTTTAAGTAACTGTTATTTTAAAACATAATTAGGTATTTAAGTCACAAATGAATCTTATAAAATGGTAAGATAAGAAGATGTACAACTACAGTTAAGAATACTCATGAAAATTGTTATTTTCGTAATGTTATATCTATCAATAACCTAATTGTTAAAAACAAGTCCGTAGACTGACGAGTACTGTTATTTCCAGAATGTTCTACTTTTCAAATATAACCTTTAGACATTTTTATTTTTTATCTAATTATATCTGTGACTAAAAATTATAAAATATATTATTAACATTTTAACTTGAATGTGATTCTATTAACAGTCTTATTAATCTTCAAAGGAAATAAAACGACATCGATTCTTAAATGTTAACGCCGTATCGATGAATGTTTGGACGATTATCTACAGTGTGTTTTATGAGAGTAGTTTATCCGTTGTGTCCTCAGTGTGTATGTGTTTGTCCTTACCGTCGCGGGCGCGGCAGAGAGCTAGCAGTAGGGCTCCGCAGGCGGCCCCTAGCGCGCTGCCCGCGGCGCCGGCCCACGAGCCCCAACGCTCCCATTCCCACCCTGCCGCTACACCCACCTCTGATACATACAGGGTGTTCAAGAAACTAACACATTCAAGTATATTGAATTATAGATAGATATATACGATCGAAAATAAACTTTACTTTGGGTCTGTAGGTTGACGAAGAAGTAGACTAAGGTTTAGATGACTGATCTGTTCAAAAAAATACAGTAAATATATATAGGTAACTATATTGGTTATGTTGTAATGATATGATAAAAAACCACAACTCACAAGACGGAATAGTCGTTTGAAATGTGGGTCTATTTAGTTACATGTATGAAGTTAATTCCAACTTAACTATTAATCGATCAGTTAGAGCATTTAACCGTCCTACCCTCAAAACTTACCGACGGTCGTAGGTTTGGTTCTAGTGATGTTAACTTTGGTCTCGTTTCTTAGTGAGTCGTCGATGAATTTGTATACTCTGTGTGGATCTAGCTCCGCGACGTACACCGTCCCGTCAGGAGACACTACCAAGTCGTGAGGGTTACTGAAACTGTCCCCTGGAGCGAAGGTCTGGATCAACCTGCCTGAAGTGAAGTCTATCACGTAGCCTCTGACCGGCGGAGGACCTATTGTTGGTCCGTTTACTATATACAGACGACCTCCTGGAAATAGTATATTAATATATTATGCATGGGGATTCAGATTTGCGTGGATTTGTTTTATGTCCAAAAATATTGTAGGATATTTGTTCAGAGTTAAGCATGATTGATAATAGATTATAATGTCTCTGGATAATTTTAATTTAGAGTTCTTTAAGGAAGGAGTAAGTAGGTTGTTACTGACATAGTATGCTTATCTATGTCTAAATCTCGACTAGCCATCAGATGGGAATATATATAAGATATATGCAATCGTTATAAAAAAAACCTTGTATTATATTTTAACTCTGACCAATTTCATATTGTCGCTTAAATTCTTATTAGATGTTGCCATTAATGCAACGAAATATTTGCATCACATAGTTAAAAGCCTACTAATAATGTCCACCAGTATTAGATCTACGTTAATAGTCCTTTCAACAGTATGACGTACCGTGTATCGGTGAGTACGCCACACTGAACAGTCTCGGTCCTATGAGCCAGTGTCTGAAGGCTGTGACGAAGGCGCCCGAGTCCGTCCTGAAGCAGGCGACGCGGCCTCGCTCGCGGTCCGCCACCAGCAGCAGCGAGCGATCCTCCGACACGGACAGCGCGTGCGGGACTGACAACACGAACGGAGACTCACCCAGACCTGGTAGGAACGAGCAGGGGGGGGGGGGGTATTATAATTCGATTTTCAAAAATGGTTGTATAGTTATGGATGTAGTCCTCCTAAAACTTAAATCTCATGCAGACCTTAAAGAAGGGGAGGGGGGGCATGAGTTCGTATTATAGTTCGATTTTCAAAAATGTTTTTATGGATATAGTCCTGTTAAAACTTAAATCTCATGCAGATCTTAAAGAAAGGAGGAGGGGAGCATGAATTCGTTTTTTATAATTCGAATTTTAAAAATGTTTTCATATTCATTGATATAGTCTTCTATAAAGTCAAGTCTTATCCAGATCTTAAAGAAAGCAGAGGGGGATAGACGTTTTATAATTCGAATTTTAAAATTATGTACGTTCTTTATTGTTATTGGTGTAATGGTAACTCACGTTTCCCCCACTGCAGTATCTTGGTGCCGTCAGCGGCGTACTTGACGATGCGAGTGTTACAGTAGCCGTCTGCCACGAAGAAGTCTCCGGAGCTGAGCACGGCCACCGCGCTCGGCTTGCAGAAGTGTTTGTCGTCATCACCGGGAACGAATCTGGTGGAGATTTGAATATGACGATTTTTCTTATTGGTTAAAAGAGTTTGTGCAAAAACAATAAATAACTCTGGGCTACAAAGACCACAAGTTCAATAATTGTTTAAAATTTCTTATGTCTTAGTTTTATGTACATACATTAGTCATTTTATATTTAAACATGAGATCTTCATTCGTCAAAATAATAGCATTAATTTAAAACTTAATTGAATATAAGTAGCTTAAAAATTTGAAAATAGAACAAAATTCCTAAATTATTTTAAATAAAGAACACAAACTTCTCTCCGAGCACCAAAGCAGGTGTTGTTCTGTTGTCTGGTGTGAACTTGAACACCTGATGCAGCGCTACATCCGTCACCCACACGTTGCTCTCACTATCCACTGTTATACCGTGCGGCATGTGGAAACTGTAACATACAATTATTATTTTTTTTTTGTATAAAGATTCCATACATTCAGCCACAATTAAGTTTTTTTTTTTTTTGCAAAATACCGCGAAATAATATTTTAACATTTTTTTTTTGCTTATATAATTGACATAGAAACAGCCAACACCTCATCAATAAGCGTAACAAATGTAAGCGTTACAAATTTCGATGTTCCTAATTGAAAACGTATTAATAATTAATTGGAAATTCAGCAAATTCTGTAATGTTTTGGCACATAATGAAAAAAGTTTATATCCAATATGCCTGATCTAATATTTTTTTTTGGTTTCATTTCTATTATTAGTTTCATCAAACTTATCCTTACAGAGGACAATATTTCAAATATCCTTATTTGCCAGAAAAAGGAATGAAGTGATTAAGTTTAGAAATCACACACAGACAAAAAATTGACAGAACTTTGTTTATCTTTAATATTTTATAATTTTTTGACATTTCCATATAAATATGATAAACAAATATTTCATTTCACATGTTTGGCTTACAACATGTAATTGTAAATTGGTCTGAGTTTTTCCCAAAGTAATTCACCCTGTGTGATGACAACGGTTTAATTATTAATTAATTATAAAAATATATTTTATATATTTGAAGTCAAGTTGAAACTATCATAAACATCTTAAAAGTCTTAATAGCAAAATATTATCTAAAACTAATAATACTTATGAATCCTTTCAAAAGGTTCTAATGATGGCATGTTTAAAATTAATACATTAACTATAAAAAACTTACAGATTCTGTCCCCAAGAGTCAATCACAACTCCAGTTTCATTGAAAACTAGTATTGTAGGTTGTGGGATGGGCGGCTCTCCGATGGCTTGATATACATTCCTGATGGAAAACGTGTTAGCATCCCATGTATTATCGGCTCGGTGAAATACCAGCAATTGTCCTGAATTATCGAGTGCAACCCCTGATACTTGACCCATCTTGATTTTGGAGTCTGGCCAGTTGGGTACCCATTGTGGAACTGAAGTCAGAGTATTTTATAAGCATGAGAGAAAAGAATAAAGAATAATTGGAAAATACATTTTAAAATTACCGTGCTCTAATTTTTGTAGCGCCGCATTTATTTTTAAAGACTGTTGGTTGGCGTAAAAATTATCCGGATAGTATTCTTCCGGCAACTGCAAAAAAAAATAAAAATTTTGTTTACGATTTCAAAACAATTATTACATTTACATTATAACAATGCTCACCCTTCTTGCTGCAATACACGACACAAATAGTAATAATAAGGCCTTGAGTGTACTTCTATTAAAACTTATCATTTTGAATATGAATACTATATCCTATATTAGCAACATATGTGAGGTCAGTCTTCCTGAGTTATGTTTATATGACTTTAATCTCCGGGAATCACTATTTTCTTTATATTTTATCATACGGAAGTTTCGAAACTAAAAAACTAGATATATTTTTTATACTGCTAACTAGACGTCAAATATTTATTTATGTCGTTCTTAGTGCAAGTTCGAAGTAGATTTGTGATAATTGTAATGAAACGCATGAATTTTACGATAAATACGGGATTGTCCAGTTGTTTACAGCGCAGCCGCGTAAACAGCTGACAACTAAGATCAAATTGTCAATTGATCCGTGTCAACATGACACTAACAAAATATCCATTACTTGTATTGGTATTTTATACATCATAGTAGAAAATTATTAGACAATTTTAATTTCAAAACAAATTCTTGTTCATATTATATTAAATGAAAATCAAAATCGTAATCATTTTTAGTACTACAGATTCCAATTTATATATTTTTTTATTCCAATAACAAAATAATTAAATGAATAGAAAAAAGTTACTCATTGAAATTAACAACTTTAAGAGTCATTGTAATAGCAAAATGATAAAAGAAATGAACCTTTATTATTATTTATTAAGCATACAATTACTTCCTGTATAGCACTTCTTCATACTATAATAATATGTCAATTTATAAGATTAAATGAATTTGATTGGAATATTGCTTATAGGATACTAGCTTGTGCCGCGACTTCGTCCGCGTGGAATAGTGACTTCCGGCAGATTTTTTGGTTCTTTCCCCATAGTTCCCGTTCTTACCGGGTTTTCGGAATGGTCGAGTTCCCGTAGAATTTTCATAATGAAACCTATGTTTTTTTTATTCACAATGAAGTACTCTTAACCAACAACATATTTATTTGTTTATTTGAATTTTGAATAAAGATTAATATTATTATGTTGATACAAATTAAACAAATTATTTCGACCAAATTAGGTACCATAAAAACGGTTTCTGTGAGTTAATCTTAAAAGATAGACATATACTGTGGCGGACTGTTTTTTAGATCATTAAAAGAGCTATTATTCTTTAACACATATTTTTTGTATATCTTGAACCGTTTTCATGGCGCACGCAACGGAAGGCTTCAAAGATGAAATAATTTCTCCCGTTTTTTAACCATTTACCACTATATCTTTGCTCCTATTGGTCGTAGCGTGATGTTATATAGCCCATGGCCTTCCTCGATAACTGGACTATCCAACACAAAAAGAATTATTCAATTCGAACCAGTAGTTTCGGAGATTAGCGTTTAAGCGTTGAGACGTATGGAGAGAATAATAGACTTTTCACTTGTTCAAGGAATGTTTTATTGAAAATATTTACAGTTATTTATACTAGAAAATTGATTACATATAGAATATGAATAACCAGCACATTAAAACAGGCGTTTTGATTGGTCGCCGCGCATACGGTTTCGTCTTTAATGCGCATGCGTTTAATCGGTATCACTGCGCATGCGTTAACCGTGGTTATATCTGTCACTCCAGCGAGCGCATCGGTCTTTTGGATCGCGCGCGCCGGGGAGTGACAACATCTTGAAAACGCTGCTAACTGAAGAAGAAGAAGACTACGTCGTGGCGAGGGGCCGGCATCGTGTCATCAGTGTGTTCCTGTTTCAATGATGAAAGCGTCACCAAATCCAGCGATGAGAACGTCTTTATCAATACACTATTGTTATTAATATGCGCTTCCGTTTCAACGATGAAAACGTCGCCAAATCCATCAACGAGAACGTCTTTATAAATAAATAAACTATTGTTATTACTTCGTGTACGTGCTGCTACAGTAATCCCCCTCAAGTGAAACGTACCGGCAACTTGATGGAGCGGCCTAGTCGAGTTGATATACGAGTAGGCTGTGACGTCATGTTGTTCGTATCAGCTGATTTTTCCATTGGTAAGGTTTTGATAGTAACACTGGTATCATTTGTAATGGTTTTCTTGGTTTGAGGTAAATCTGAATTTCCGGTATTTAACACATATGCAGGCTTCAGTCGATCAATAGAGATGCATGTTTGACGATCGGGTAATTGAATTGTAAAAACTTTATCTGTTCTGTTTACAACTCGAAAGGGGCCTTCATAGGGTGTTTGAAGCGGTGATTTGACTGCGTCGACTCGAATAAACACGTACGGACATGTTCGTAGGTCTTGATGTACGAAAATGTGTTTATTGTTTCGTTGCGAGTTCGGTAATGGTTTATGTTTCTGTATATTTTCTCGTAATTTTTCGACGTAATTATAATTTAATGATGCTGAGTCTGTTGTTTTATTTGTGTCTAGGAAATCACCTGGGAGTCTTAAGTTATAACCGTAGGTAAGTTCGGCTGCGCTTACGTTGTTATCGGTGCGTAAGACGGCTCGTAACCCGAGTAGTATAGTAGGTAACTCATTGATCCATGACGTTGTATCGGATAGTTTGGCGCGTAATGCGTTCTTCAATGAACGATGCCATCGTTCAATCATTCCGTTGCTTTGTGGATGATAAGGCGTAGTTCGTATTCTTTGTATTCCGAGTATTTTCATTAAGTTTTTAAATATTTGACTTTCAAACTGTCGGCCTTGATCACTTGTTATAGTAGCGGGGCATCCGAATCGACTTATCCAGTTGTTGTATATGCATTCTGCGACTGTTTCGGCGGATATATCGATGGTAGGTATTGCTTCGGGCCATTTCGTATGTCGATCGATCATGGTTATTAAATATCGGTAACCTTGAGCTGTTGTAGGTAACGGTCCGACGATATCTACGTGCACGTGTTGAAAGCGGTCGGTTGGCGGGAACGAATTTATTTTGCTGTGTGTATGACGTTGTATTTTGCTCTTCTGACATTGAATGCAATTTTTAGTCCACGTTGCGATGTCTTTATTCATGGACGGCCAAAAGTATTTTCTTGTTATTAATTTCCTTGTTGTTCGCGTTCCGGGATGACTGATATTATGTATGTTGTTAAAAACTTCTTTACGATGATCGGTAGGTATGTAAGGTCGTATGAATGATGTTGATGTTTCACAAAGTAATTCTATATCTGTATTAGGAATATTTACCCTTTTGAATGATAGGTTGGTTTGTTGAAGTAAATGTTGAATGTTGTTGTCACTTCGTTGTGCTGAGGCTATTTCTTCATAATTTATTGTAGACGGGCAGGATATAGTTTCGACACGACTTAAAGCGTCGGCGACGATGTTTTGTTTCCCACTTACGTGACGTATGTCGGTTGTAAATTCAATAATGAATAATAATTGTCTTGTTCGTCGCGGCGTCTCGTTGTTTGTTGATGTTTTGTTCATAGCAAACGTGAGTGGCTTGTGGTCGGTGAATATTATGAGTGGTCTGCCTTCGAATATTTTCCTAAAGTGTTTTACTGCCATATATATAGCAAGTAATTCACGATCGTATGTTGAGTATTTTTTCTGAGCGTCTGAGAATTTCTTTGAGAAATAACCGAGGGGCTGCCATGTATTATGTATGTACTGTTGTAGTACGGCTCCGGCGGCGTTGTCTGAGGCGTCACTGAATATTGCGAGTGTTGCTTCGTGAGACGGGTGAGCGAGTAAAGTCGCGTTACTGATGCTAACTTTACATGCTTCGAATGCTTGCGTTGCTTCGTCGGTCCACTCGATTATAGTTTTATCGCGCTTCTTAACGTTGTGTAGATATGAATTTAGCGGAGCTTGTATAGTGGCGGCGTTTGGAATGTGATCTCTATAGAAATTTAACATTCCTAGGAAGCGTCGTAGTTCTTCAACTGTTTTGGGTTTCGTATAGTTGACGATAGCCTTGACTTTATCATCGGGTGGTTTGATGCCTTGTTCCGATACCATGTATCCTAGGAATTTGACTTGCTGTTTTCCGAAATTACATTTCGCGGGGTTTATAGTGATGCCGTGCTCTTGAAATCGTGTGAGTACAGTTCGGAGGTGTTCTCGATGTTCAGTTTCGTTGGCTGAAGCTATCAAAACGTCATCAATGAAAGGGAATACGTAATCGAGTCCTCGGAGCACTTCGTGAATATATCGCTGAAAAGTTTGTCCGGCATTCTTCAGACCGGGACACATTCGAGGGAATTCGAATAAACCCATTGGTGTTATGATTGCTGTCTTCTCAATGTCTTCGGCGCGGACCTCAAGTTGTTGGTAAGCGCGGTTGAGATCGGCGGTTGAAAATATGGTTTTACCTGAGAGATGATGTGTGAAGTCCTTGACTCGCGGTACTGGGTAGCGATCGGGTTTCGTTATCGCGTTGAGTCGTCGATAGTCACCGCACACTCTTATATCCCCATTCTTTTTAGGTACGATATGAAGTGGCGATGACCATGCGCTTTTACTAGGACGACAGAGTCCTTGTTGCATCATATTCTCAAATTCTTTCTTAACGGTTTCGTAACGATGCGGCGGTATAGGTCGTGCTCGGCAGTGGATCGGAGGTCCCGTAGTTTCGATATAATGTTCGACGTTGATTTTAGTTCCCAGCTTCATTGCGGTAAGTCGTGTTATGCCGGGGAATTCAGCGAGTATGTCGTGGTACGCGTCGCTTATGTCGATGCTTCTTATTGTGGGTGTAGTAGTTGATTTAATCGGCACGTTTACTCGTAAATTCGTTACGGCGTCGATTAATCTTCGATTCTTGATATCAACGATGAGTTGGTGATAGTTTAAGAAATCGGCTCCTAATATAGGCTTCGATACATCGGCAACTATAAATTTCCACTTGTACGGTCGTCGTAGATTTATATCGAGTTCGAGCGTTCGTTCTCCATACGTTGATATTATCGTGTTGTTGGCGGCATATAATTTGAAAGGTAGCGGCGTCGATTTCTGGCCTGGTTTTCGAGGTAGTACGGAGATATTGGCTCCCGTGTCTACTAAGAAAGAGTAGTTCGTTTTTTTATCGGTAACGAACAGGCGGTATGATTTGTGAACGCCGGATTCCGCCTCTGCCAACGTTCGGTCTAGTTTTCCGACTTCGTGTGGTCTTTAGTATAACTACACGGCGTAGTACACCGTCGGGCTTGACTACCAAAGCGGCGGTGATAGTAACACAGTGGAGATGGCGAATTGTGACGACTGCGATGTGTTGATAATCTGCGTTGACGGCTTCGGGAGTGATCTCTTCGATGTTTGAAGTTGTTGTATGCCGGTCGTGCCTTTAATTCTGCTACTTCGAGTTTTAGTTTCCTTACTGCATTAATAAGTAATTGGTTGGCGGCGGCTTGAGAGCTGGCGAGAGCTTGAGGTGGCTGGGTTTCCATATTTGAATGATTTTTCGGGCAGGGATTTGTCCGGATTCCTTTTCTTCAGAAGTTTCTTCGTGTTCTGTCGAGGGTCACCACTTTAAGCGTTGAGACGTATGGAGAGAATAATAGACTTTTCACTTGTTCAAGGAATGTTTTATTGATTTTTTTTTTTTTTTTTTTTTGTTTCGAATTGACATATGCTGTTAGCCCTAGTGGCTTTGACAGCGTCACCGAGAGGGGTGGGTGGTCCTGATGGGACCGACCCGATTAATTCGGGCCCGAAGGGCCCGACCAGGGATACGCCCGTCCCAAGGGTGCCTCTAGGAGGCCGGACCTCGGCTTAGGACGTCGTTGTCGTGGAGGTATTAGAGGGTCGATTGAATACATGACGCCCCCCGACGGCAGAACGCCGGAGTGACGTGTATGAAACGGGACCTCGCCTTCGCCGGCGAAGGCGGTGTGTGTTTCTGATGTCTGGTGTGTTGTTGGGATTATTGTTCGTATTGTCTGTCGTGATCTGGTCGTCAGGGTCTAAGAGGACGTCTTTGGGACGCCTCTTACCTAATTTGGAGTTGGGTGACGGGGAATAATTTGACGCTTGGATTACTAGCGGGTTCGGATGTATTGACGCGGTATCGAAGAATCTCTTTGAGATCATCTTGAAGTGCGCAGCTATCGTAGGAAGTTGGAGGTCCCTATGAAGATCTGAGTTCCTGAGGTACCAGGGTGCGCCTGTGGCTATGCGCATGAATCTGTTTTGCACTACTTGCAGTTTATTAATGGCTGAGGGCCTGACGTGGGCGAAGCATGCGCTTGCGTACGACATAACTGGAAGTATGCAGGTCTTGTAAAGTGTGACCTTATTTCTAAGGGACAGTTTACTTTTACTGCAGATGAGGGGGTATAGGCGACCTATGATGAAGGATGCCCTATTTCTAACAGTTCGAATGTGAGGATTAAAGTTGAAGTATCTATCTAGGGTAACCCCCAGGTATTTGGCTTTTTTTTGCCAAGGAATGGGACTGTCGTAAAGTGAAACCGTTCTGTAGGGGATGCCTACTCGATTGCTTCTGGTGAAGATTACTGCATTGCTTTTACCTGGATTAATCTCGATTTTCCATTGGCGAAACCATTCCCCTAGGGTTACGGCTGCTTTCTGGAGTCGAGAGATGGTGAGATCAAGAGATCTTGATGTGGTGTAGACTGCGGTGTCATCCGCGAAGAGGGCGAGATGTGTTGGTCTGTTTGGGACCGGGATGTCGCTCGTGTATATCGAGTAGAGAAACGGAGAGAGGATAGAGCCCTGAGGGACTCCTGCTCTTATGGAGCGGGGAGAGGAGAGGGTGCCTTCAACTCGATAGCGGAAAGAGCGATTCGACAAGTAGGCTCGAATGATGTGCACGAGCCTGTCTGGCAGTTTTAGTGTGAACAGCTTGAATAACAAGCCGTTGTGCCAGACTTTGTCGAATGCTTTCGCCACATCGAAGAAGATTGCACCCGTCATTTGGGGCCGTCTTTTTATAATACCCTTGGTGATATGCTCCGTGAGGCGGTGCAGCGGGTGGACGCTCGAATGCTTGGCTCTGAAGCCGAATTGTTCGTTTGGGAGGATATTTAATTTCTCCACTTCCTGTTTTAGCCGGTTCAAGATGATCCTTTCGTAGATCTTTCCGAGAGTATTGAGCAGACTAATCGGCCGGTAGCTGCTCGGTAGATTTTTCGGTTTCCCTGGCTTCGGGATTCCTATTACTATGGCCTCTTTCCATTGGTCGGGGAACGCGCATCCGCTCAGTAGTGCGTTGAAAACGAGGACCAATAGATAAACTAGTCGCGGCGGTAATAATTTCAGGGCCTTGTTCGTGATGCGATCAGGCCCCGATGCTTTTTTCGCGTGAAAATCGCGGATAATGTTTGTCACTTCCGGAAGTGATGTTTCTTTTAACGCGGCGTCTCGGATTGGTTGATTTAGTTTATGAGCTACGTACTCTTCTACTATTTCGTCGTGACCCGGGTCACAATGTTTAATGCTTAAGGAGCATTGACTCTCAAAACTGTCTGCTAGACACTCGGCCTTCTCTCTGTCGTCGAAAGCGGGTGGTAGGTTCGGTCTAACCAGAGGTGGCATTACCGAGACAGTGTTTCCCTTCAGCGCTCTCTGCAACGACCAGAAAGCCAGGTGCGTTGGAGAGAGCGATGAGAGTTTCCTGTCCCAGCCGTCCTCTCGAAAGGAAGCGAGTTTATCTCTCACTTGCCTTTGGAGATTACGTAGCGTTCTGCGGTTAGCGTCTGTCGGTGCTGCGTCATGGGCTCTAGTGGCGGCATTTTTCTTTCTAATTAAGTCCCTAATTTCGGGAGGCAGTTCGCGGCGATCCCTGTGGGACTCCGTGATCTGTCTCGTCGAGTTGTCTAAGGCTTGGGTGATGTGATTAGTTATTTGAGACATGGCGGTCTTCGCAACTTCTGCTGATTCTATAGTGTCAGGGATTTGGGAAAGATGCGAAGAGTTAGATTCGAGACACTGTTTAAGTAGCTTCCAATCTGTTATGTTTTTAGTGAGGGTTGCCGCGGTTTGGGGGGGTCCTAACTGAATTAAAACTGGTCTGTGGTCTGAGTCTAGCTCGGATAGCGCCTCAATCGAATGCAACTGGAGTGTTACATTCTTCATGAGGGCTATGTCGATCACGTCAGGTCTGTTTCGTCTATCCTCATGGAAGGGGTAGCGCGTCGGATTGAGGGGAGCGGTGACTTCTATGTTAAGTTTATCTACTATCCTGTTTAAGTCCCGTCCACTAGCGTTTGTTATTCGGGAGTTCCATCGTGGGTGTTTACAATTGAGGTCCCCGGCCAGAATGACCGAGTTCCCTAGTGAAAGGAGTGACTGAAGGTCGCTCTCCTCTATTGTCTTTGACGGGGATAAATAAACGGATGCTAGTATGATGGGCTGATGGCCTGTCATACCCACCTGACAAATCGATGCTTCTATGTTTTGAAGTTGGGGAGGATCAAGGGGGATGCAATGAAGAGCCCTTCTGTAATATATGACCGTGCCGCCTTTAGCTGAAAGGCGGTCGTTCCTAACGATGTTATAATTCCCAATCCGTGGGTTCCTAGAACTTGGTTTCAAGAAGGTCTCTTGTACTAAAAGTATATCTATCTGGTGCTTAACTAAGAAGTGTTGCACCAGTTCTTTCTGATGAGAGAGGCCGTTCGCGTTGTATGTAGCGACAGTCAGAGAGCGTGGTTTTAGGCGGCTAGTAGCCATTGGTGTTGAATGCTCCTACGGCATTCAACAAGCTCGTATGCTGGCATACTGCCAACATGCGTGCCTGCGAATTGCCGTTTGTGGCCCTCAATTTGGCTGCGAAAGTTTGTATTTCCGCGGGGTCAAAGAGGCTTGCGAAGTCACAAACCATTTTTAGATCGGCCTCTAGTCCGGCCGTTGGTGCCTTAGGGGCCTTTGGTGCCTGTGGGGCTTTAGGTGCCTGAGGGGCTGACGGTGCCTGAGGGGCTATCGGTGCCTGAGGGGCTTTAGGTGCCTGAGGGGCAGTCGGTTTAGGTGCGCCTAACGGTCTTTGCCAGGCGTTAGTCGCAGGGAGGGCCGCAGGGATGAGAGCCGGCTCTCGGGCTTTAGTGTACTGCCGCCCAACCTTCGCCCAATGCGGGGTTTTGGGGCATCCGCGATAGCTCGCGGGATGGCCCCTCTGTCCGCACAGGACGCAGCTGGGAGGTTCCACCGTAGCCGCCTCCCTAGTACAGTCTGTTGTGGCGTGGTCGCCGAGGCACTTTACGCAGCGCGGGCGTGCGTAACAGAACCTCTGCGAGTGTCCGTAAAGTTGGCAACGGTGACATTGCCCCGGGGCTCCGCGGTTCCGCGGTGGCTCTACTGTCAGTCCGGAAAGCTGACAAACTGATGAGATGTTGAAAATTTTCTTACCCTCCGGGGTAAGTGATAGGTGGACTAGCACCATATCGAACGGGTTTTTATTTGGTCGGTGCATACGATGCACCTCTAACACCGGCAGGTTTTGGGACTTAAGGTCCTCTTTTATTTCCTCAATGGGAATCTCCGCGGGGAGACCCTTGATGACGACTGTTAGCCTACGCTCCTCCGGGAGGGCGTAGGTGTGGTATTCTAGTTTTTGAAGTCTAAGCATCGCGGATAACGCGCGATGGTCATTCGGTGTGGCCGCGGTGACCTTTATTCCCGCCTGAGTATTACGTGCCGACACGTATTTTATTTTTTTATCGTTTAAGAGGCTGGATATAGCGTTCCAGCTCTTATTGGTTCTAATATATAATGGCGGCGGGTATTTTGAATATACTTTGGGTGCGGACCCAGGTAGCCCCGCAGGAGCGGTCGCAGGTGCGCCCGCAGGTGCGGACACAGGTGTGCCCGCAGGTGCGGACACAGGTGTGCCCGCAGGTGCGCGCGCAGCTGCACCGGCAGCTGCTGGGGTTGACGGTTTCTTAGTTGGCGGCGGCGCCTTTAATGACTTGGCCGCCTTTCTTTTACCTGATTTTGTTATGACTGTTTCAAACCCGTCGTTATCCTCCTCTGCGTCTGAGGAGGACGGCGTTGAATCTGACTCGGCTTCCGAGCCGATTGGTGAGCAATCCATGTCGCATGGATTGCTTTTTGGACAGTCCGGTGAGGCTGGGCTGTCCGTATCGAATGAGGTGGGCTTTACTTCGGGGTTCACATCGGTGAACTCCTTGTACGCTTCGGGGTATTTTTTAATAAAAAAAATCTAATAAGGCCTCTAATCGGCCCGAATTATGGTCGCCCATGATGGGCGACGGACTTAGGAGGGAGTCCTCCCTGCAAGGCAGGGAGGTGTGTAACGTATTTGATTCAAGTCTAGACCCTGTTATTAGGTAACAGGGGTGCACCTACTTCCCTAACCACTAACGACTGTGTAAAATACCTTATGAGGGTGGCAGGACAACGGCGACTAAACGACGGTGACTGCTACCCTTTTCCTGATGCTTCTATCGACGCCGGACACGTCGATCTTCTGGCCTCTTCTGTAACTTGTTGTCACTTATCACAAACACCATCGGAACACTGATTACGCACGTCTGCGCCGTGCGAATGCCCAACTGAGAGTCGTTTTATTGAAAATATTTACAGTTATTTATACTAGAAAATTGATTACATATAGAATATGAATAACCAGCACATTAAAACAGGCGTTTTGATTGGTCGCCGCGCATACGGTTTCGTCTTTAATGCGCATGCGTTTAATCGGTATCACTGCGCATGCGTTAACCGTGGTTATATCTGTCACTCCAGCGAGCGCATCGGTCTTTTGGATCGCGCGCGCCGGGGAGTGACAACATCTTGAAAACGCTGCTAACTGAAGAAGAAGAAGACTACGTCGTGGCGAGGGGCCGGCATCGTGTCATCAGTGTGTTCCTGTTTCAATGATGAAAGCGTCACCAAATCCAGCGATGAGAACGTCTTTATCAATACACTATTGTTATTAATATGCGCTTCCGTTTCAACGATGAAAACGTCGCCAAATCCATCAACGAGAACGTCTTTATAAATAAATAAACTATTGTTATTACTTCGTGTACGTGCTGCTACAAGCGCTTTCAAACAAACAAACAAACAACTCTTCAGCTTTATAATATTAGTATAGATTATACTTAACGAAAATGTTTTAGAAATATATTTTTAATAAAACTCAAAAAATAAAGACTTTTGTTTAAATAACATAAGTCATAATACTACCTTCGGAGAATTGAAAACATAATGAGACATTTAAAACTTTTGTTTTGCTTTTCTTTCGAGTTACACCAATCTATATCATTGTGAATAAAAAAACATAGGTTTTATCCTGAAAATTCTACGGGAACTCGACCTTTCCGAAAACCCGCAAGAACGGGAACTATGTGGGAAGAACCAAAAATCTGCCGGAAGTCACTATTCCACGCAGACGAAGTCGCGGCAAAAGCTAGTGTTATATAAATTCGAAAGGATAACACTGGTCTGCAACGAAAAACTCCTTTAAACAAAAATATGATAAGTATGAAGTATTCAATATCCTGAATCTATATCTGTTTTTATTTTTTTGCTATCAGGTATATATTCCTTACAAAAATTTTTTTTTGAATAGCTTAAAATTCCATATATTTCACTGTTGTTCATGCGTTAGCGCAACTGTGTTTAGTTGTGTTAGTGGGTAAGCACAAAAAAACGACTCCTACTGATAGAAAGAGAGCGAACGATACCGACTGAGTCATTTTTATACGAATACATTGAAAAAAATTAAATATTCAGTATATGTGGAATATTCAGTATATGTGGATCTTAAAGTTGTAGCAATGTTAACTGGCCTACAAGGAGGATATGCAAAATATTGTTGTTTTTTGTGTGAGTGGGATAGTCGGGCGAGAGATAAATACTATGTAGTAAAAAGCTGGCCACGAAGAACGAATATGATGCCTGGTTTCAAGAACATTAATGATGAACCTTTAGTTCCAAGTGAAAAAATTTTTCTTCCTCCACTCCATAAAAAGCTGGGTCTTATGAAAAATTTTGTGAAAGCCATAAATAAGAATGGTGAAGGCTTTCTGTATTTAAAGACAAAATTCCCCCGAATCAGCGAAGCAAAATTAAAAGAAGGAATCTTTTTGGGTCCCCAAATACGCGAGCTTATGAAGGACACAAATTTTACAATAAGACAGAAAAAACCCGAAAAAAGGGCATGGACTGCTTTCGTCGAAGTGTGCTATAATTTTCTAGGAAATAAAAAAAGTGAAAACTACCAGGATACTGTCACAGAACTTATTTCTTCGTATAAAGACCTAGGGTGTAACATGTCTTTAAAAATTCATTTTTTGGACTCTCACTGGGATTTCTTCCCACCTAACCTTGGAGCAGTATCAGATGAACACGGTGAGAGGTTTCATCAAGATATTATGCACATAGAGAGACGCTACAACGCAAAATGGTCAGAAGGAATGCTTGCTGATTTTTGCTGGTTTATTCGGCGCGAAATTCCACTTCAAACTTCAAAATATAAAAAGAAAGAAAACTACAAAATAAAATAATATTAATAATAAGTAATAAACATTTTGTAATAAACGTTTTAATGTTTTTTCATGGTCTGTATCCAAAATTATGATAATAAATAAATATATAATTAAAATATAATGCCAAAAATGCTATTTTATTTAAAAATTATATTGTAAAAAAAATATACGTGATCGAAAAATTTTGATACCATATTTCTATTTAGTACTAATGAATCAATAATAATAATCCTTAGTTCTGTAAAGGAGGCCAAAACAAATTTTTTTTGCAGACCAGTGTAATTTTAATAATAATATTTTTAAATATTATTATTAAAATTCAACAGAATAAAAAAGTGGTTGTTGGCTTAGCTCAAAACTTTTGAAATTAAATTTATGTTATTTGCCTTTGAATTTCGATATTTATTTAATATGTGCAAATACTTCGTTTTACCTGTTAACATCGCTAAATCGTTTTTATCCCGAAGTATTGTTAAAATTTTAATATATTTGTTGTAAATAAAAGACAATATGCATTACACTAAGAAGTTTTATTTTCACATGCACTTTTCTTGAAGTGCGCATACACCATACGGAAAAAGTCACATTACATAAATAAAATCCATCTCAATATTGGATGTAATATTTAAGCGACTCTCCGCTAATAGGCGATACTCGTCGCCTATATATGAATGGCAATCTCTGCCAAACATTATATCCTTAATAAATTCTAAAAGTTATTTAAGAACAGTTGGGCCTGCTCTTGAATCTTCCTCATTTTCTTCAGAGCCTTCGAAGATATATGAGTCTTGTCGCCTAATAAGGCGAGGTTGAAGTGTAGTTTCCTCAGCAGTTCGCTCTTAGTCTTCTTGAGAGCTGCGTCCATGGGTCGTGACCGCAGCAGCCGGCGGTGGTAGAACACCAGCTTGTTCTTGGTGGCCGCTGTCTGTTGAGACGTATCATTGCCGACGTTGTTTTCCTTCGTATCATCTTTCACGACGCTCACATTCCGTTGTATGTTCTGGATCGGATTCAACGTCTTCTGGTTCGGTTTCGGACTGACTTTGAAGGATTTATCATTCTTTTTCTTGAACGTCACGGCCGGCTTGTTGTAAAATTTACTTAAGAGTTCTACGTAATCATCTCTGGGTATAGCGGCGAATATACAGTGAAAGTGTTCACCGATTTCCTCGCGCAGTGACGTCGGTATATTTTTCTGTCTGAAATTGCTCAGTTTCTCCTGCAGAGAGTACAGTTCCTTTAAATGTTTAGAGCCATCAGCTAGACCGGCTTGTCCGAGAAGTACCATATTCAGTTTTCTCAGCATTAGATTAATATTGTCCCTGTTGTTTGACAGTTTTTTGGGGCTTATGACTTTCTGGTTAATAAGTTGCTGATGTTTATTTTGTAAATACGTCAGCTCCTTGTAAATAGTCTTCGGATCCCCCAAATCTTTCTTTAACGAGTCGAACGCTTTGTTCAGTTTGCGCAAAGCGTTATTTCTGTTCTTGGGTATGTTATTCGTCAAGAACTGTTGATCGTTTGTACCTTCCTGGGTGACGTCTGTTTCACTCTCTGATACAAACCGTTCTTTCTCTCTGCCCGCTTGTTTGTTCTTGATCCAGTCTCCCAGTTCCGCTTGGAAGGCCTCCTGGTTGCCGACTGTACCGTTGATGCTCAGGTAGAATGTTATAGCTTCGTTCTCTAATATCAGATCGTTGTTTTTGATGGTCGTGTTGAGCCACAGGTTTCCTTCGTCTGTCATCAAGAGATCCGCTATCTCCTTAGTGATGTAGACCCTCGCGGATGTAATGACCTCGCTAGTGTCTGATACTTCATTGTCTTGTATTATTTGTCCCCTTTTGTCTCGATTCTCCGATGATGTTATCGGTATAAAGTCTGGAGCCTTCTCTGAACTTTGAACTTCAGACGATTTTTTATTGATGTTTGTTTCTGTAATATTTTTGCTGCTGTTATTTGGTTGTTCTTCAGGGATCATAACTTTCCTCTGATTCCCTGTAGCAAATTTATTTCCTGAGCTTATTTCGACTTCAATGGTCCCCACATTACGTTTCTTGTTGAGATGTGACTCGTGTGTGGTCGGCGACTTGGACTGTCTTTTCATTCTGTCCTGTCTGATCGTTGAGGAATTTTCGGAATTGTTCCTGTTCTTAAATTTCTTGTTTCCGATATCGTTGCTTTGGTTGTTAATGTCTAACATCTGGTAGACTGGTCTGTAGACGGACACGTACGGGGAGTTCATTGGCAGGCCTGAGAACGGTAGAGAGAGTCGGCATGTGTGGACTAAATGACCACGGCGCGTGCAACCGCTGCAGAACAGCTGGTGATTCTTCTTCGTTTGACGATTCTCTTCCAATGGAGTCTCCAACGACAACTGCAACACAAACATATTTGTCATATTAACTTATTACACCAATGTGAACATACAACTTGTATTGACTTGGATTTTATAGATGACAATATAATATTAATAATATTTTTGATAATCTCGACCCACTTTACACTTATATTCCGATGATCCTTTCAATGTAGACCTTTATATAACCCCACTAAAATACTGATCTAGTGTATAGTAACAATATCTATGGGCCAACTATCTTTTCTTTTTATGTTAAAGGTGGGAAACGAGTAGACGGCCTACTTGATGGGCAGTAGTGACCGTCGCCCATGGACATCCGCAAAAGAGATGTTGCAGATGTCATGTTTGCCTTTGTTTTTTAGGACTAGGGAATAAGGGAATATCAGGAAAAGGTGGGAATATGAAAAAGGCATCTACTAAGAATCCTGTCAAGTACTTGTGATACGTGTACATATGTACACCACTGTAAACATACAACTTGAATTGACTTGGAGTTTACATATGACAATGGAATATTTTTGACCATCTCAACCAAATTTACACTTATTTTCTAACAATCCTTTCAATGTATAGGTAGAACTGTAATTGACTACTAAAATACTGATCTATGTATGATAACTATTTCTATATGCAAACTATCTTCTAAAACCTAAGTACTTGTGATATGTGTACGTCAATACTAACAGTATCATGGTATCTGCGCCACACGTCGGGACAGTGGCTGGCGGGGTGACCGCTCTGGTCACACTCCGCACACTTGATGCACTTCCATGTTGAACAGTTCCTACACATGGTTGAGTACACGTAGTTGGGTGAGCCACACTGGAATGAAGATGACACGACAATGTTAGGTTAAATTCAAAGAGTCCAACTACCATGGATATAGTATAAAATATGAATTGATCTTGCACATAGTGTTTTTGGGATTTAGTATGCAAGTGTTAATTTGAGGAAGAAATTCTAAACTAAGACTGTAATAGATATGTTAACAATTTTCCTGAATTATTTTTTGATTCATGTTTACTTAAAAATATTACTGTTTCTTAGAATATTTGAAAACGCTAACAAGTAACTGTCATGTTATTAAAACATTGTTTATAAATAAAGCATTTAAAACATATTTCTATAAATTTATACAAAAAAATTACTCTCAATACTATTTTAATAATACAAATAATAGTAAAATTAGCACTAAACATTAATGTGTCATTAGTGTTAACAACCATCAGGTAATTTAGTAATTATTTCTAATTAATTTCCATTCTCATTAATTCTAGTAATTATCTAAATATGTAATATATATTTGGTTAATCATTACCATACAGTTTTTTAAATATTATTATACTGCAAAACTGTCACATATGGATTCTTATGGAAATAACTTTAAAATCATGTCGTGACTAGTTTTTGTTGTATGTATGTTTGTGTAAACTAACATTGACGCATATCTTCCTAGGACAGCGCGGTTCGTAGTGGCCCGCGTCCCCACACATGAAGCACACAGGCGGCTTGAAGTGACACGCGTCGTCGCGGTGACCGGCGCGGTTACAATAGTTACATCTGAAAACATATACATAACATATAGTATTCAATGCTTTAAAATTAGAGGGTTATATATGGGCTATTTTATCTGAAATTTTTTAGTTCACTATCATAATGGAACACTTATATGACATCCCTACTAATATTAAAAATGCGAAAGTAACTCTTTCTGTCTGTCTGTTACACTTTCACGCCTAAACCACTGAAATGATTTTAATGAAATTTGGTAGAGATGGAGTTGCCCTTGAGAAAGAACATAGGATAATTTTTATCCCAGATTTTTGAAAGGTTCTCTTGGAAACGCAAAACCGAACTCCACGCGGGCGAAGCTGCGGGCGGAAAGCTAGTTGAGTATACATTAGGATGAGAAGTTTAAGAATATATTTATATTAATAATATGTTTAGATTGTACTGATACTCACGTGGTCTTTCGTCTAGTCAGCGACGGCATACGGTCCTTTGCGTCAATTACCCACAAACTTTTATCTCCTGGTAGGGAAAAATAGATTTTGTAAATTTTTGCAATAAGAAGAATATATGTATAAAGTCTAATTCATTCCACTCACGCGACATATTTTTCTGTATCTCCCGATGGTTGAATTCTTCGCCTCCCCAGCTTTCGTTATAGAACTTTTCCATTTCAGCTCGTAATGTCGTTAGTGAGTATCGTCGTCGTTTGCACACTTTGTTAATGCCTTTGAGATTGTCAAAGTCGAGATCCTCATTAAGGATGGCTGGTATTTTAGTTGAGCCGCATTTAGATATGTCTTTCACGGAAATATCGTGATCACTGAATTCATCCATATCTGTGAATCCAGTCACATTGCCCATCACTATGTTTTCGTCAATACTTGTGTTTAGAGCGGGTTCTGTGAGATCTACCACAGGTTTATGAGAAATATCGGTATTTTTAGATGTTTTAACAGTTTCAACGACGGGGCTCTCCATTGTGCTTTCCGAGCTCTCAGCGTCATTAGTAGCCTCTTTAGATGCAGGTTCTGTGGCATTTTCTGATGGATTGGAGTCGGATTCATAGACATCAGTACTCGGTACACTTTTGTCGGTCACCTCATATGTCGTCTGGTTTTTGTTACTCTCATTCAGTGATTGGTTGCTGTCTGAGTCATACACATCAGCATTCGGTAAACTTTTCTCTGAAACTCGATATGATTTTGTCCTTTGGCGTTTATTCTTGGCCTTGCTCTTGGGAGTGGCGAAACATTCATCAACTGCACCAGCCGTTTGCTTTGAGCTCACGGGAGTTGATACCGAGAGAGGTGTTAGTGATGACGGTGTATTTTTATCTTTGCTTTTCTTTTTCTTTTTTTTCTTTGACGGAGTTTGGTCGAGAAGGTCGGAGCCATGAAGACTGAAATCGAAGCTTTGGTTGTTTGGATGTTTTGATGATATATTGAGTGCGATGCAGTCTCCTCTTATGAAGTCATCTGATATAGATGAAACAACAGATGGTACCGGACTGGTAGTGACTTCTCTGTCAACGGAGGTTTTAATATCCGGTGTGGGCTTTGTTGGCTTGTGTTTAATGTCGGGCTCTGGTTCAACTGTACACACATCATCTTCGTCCGAACTCTCGATGGTGATGGTAGGTTTGGGTGGTAGCGCCACTTCAATAACTTCATCCTCGTCACTCGTTTCCAGTTCCACGATATTTTTGTCATCATCATTTTCCAATATTTCTACAGTTTTCTTCACATTCGAGGGAACCGGTTGTTGGAAAATAGACAAGTCTGATGCGTTCTGGTCTGAAGGTTTACTTTTGTCATCCTTCTTTTCTCCTGTTTCTTTGTTGTTTGCAGAATCTTTGGGTGTGTTTATTTTCTGATAAGGCGTGTTGTGGTCTACGTTAGTGCGCCAGTAGCGACGCACGGTACTCTGAGGAACGTTCTCAACAATCTTGTTATCGTTTTGGTTCGAGTTGACGTTTGATTGTGTATCGTCAACATAGTGTATCATAGCATACATTTGTTCCTCCAGCTCATTTTCGCTAAGCTCCTAAAATATAAATTATTGCAACATTACCATGCGTTTTTGCACCTTATTGTGACACAACAAAAATATGGTAACCTAAACACTCACCTCTTCCATGTTTTCGTCGGAAATTTAGATCGAAAAGCAGAAGGTACGAAATAAACATAATCGATAGTTTGTTAAGGGGCAATTAATAAACTGCTTTAAGCATTACAAGTAACGAAAAAAGGATTGTATTTATTATGGTTTACGGACACGTCTGACACTACATTTCGAGTCCTAAAACTGACATTTGAGACTACAGATTATATTCACCACTTCAACATACAGCCACAGGTAATGAAATTTAATGCGTCATTTCATAAATTATTACAGAAATCTTTTACGTAACAGATTAAAAAAATAAATAAAGGAACAAATATGGTAAAGTTTGTTTTCCATGACATAAATATTAAATAATAAAATATATATACTTTAATGAACTTAAAAATTTAATAAATGGTTTTTAAAATGTAACAAAAATGTTTATGCAAAATAAATTAATTTACGTTTAAAAAGTTAATAAACTTAAAAAAGATTTCATTGTATAAAAGAGAGCCCAAGTAAAATAGAATTTTGAAGTAGTATTAAGAACAAAATTTATTATATATGAAATATTTAAATAATCCTCAAACATTTTGTTTATAAATGTTAAAAAAAGTTACAAAAAATTGAAATTGGAATAGTAATTGAATATTATAATTTAAAAAAAAAAAACAAAAAGCTAATAATAATTTTATGTCTTTTATCATCTGGAAATTTATTGATATTATTACAAATAATACATAATGATTTTGGGAAGGTTTTTATTAATTTAAAATTAATGAAAATACACACACATCTTATATTTATTTATTTATTATAATATACTTAATAAGAAATCGAATTATTTACAATTAAAATATTGTTATTTAATACATTTATACGTATACATCTACATATTTGTATGTTTATGTATAATTAAATAATGCTATTTGAAGCATATTTTATGTACTATGAGACATTTAATCATATTTTTCATGTATTAGCTTTCAGGCATCCATTGAAGAAGTTGCTTATCATATGAGTGGCGTTTCTGTAAAAGAGAATAAAGGTATTTTATTGTTAATTTTTTTCTGTTTATTATTTTACTATGATTTGTCTTCATTTAAGCAATGAGAAGATAGGTATAGAGCTATAATTAATAAAATGAAATAACCAGAATTCCAAAAGGTGATTTCTGGTATAAATATTAAAACTAAAGAATCCTTATTTTAACTGACTCAAGGTTAAGCAGTACCTATAGTTAAATTTATTTTATCTCAGACTCAGTACACCGGAAGCCACAGGTGTGAATTCTACTAATTACATTGCATTTGACTATCTAATTAGTCAATTTGAAATTTAATTCTCTTCTATTCAATATCAACATGCAACTGAGTCATCTTATTAATATTATATACAAAAGTTTGTGATGATTGTATGTATGTTTGTTGCGGTTTCAAGCAAAAACTATTAAACGGGTTTTGATAAAACTTCATAAACTTCGTAATGTAGTTTAGACATCAGAATGCGACATAGGCTATTAATTTTCAGGATATTGGGTGAAGTACATGTGTAATCACGGCAGAGCACTTGTACCTATAATGTGTGAAGTTACGTTACACATACTAGATGTCGCTACTGAGCACTTACTAATAATTTTTTCTTTTAACGCACTTAAAATTTCGCTCTAGAGATCAATAAAATTCCAGAACATAATAATAATCAATATTCACTATATATGTATAACAAAAATTCAATATTGAAGTAAGAATATTTTCTTAAATACATACTAAATAATAAAATTTCTAATACTTAGTAAATATACAGGGTGACTGGTGAATTACTATCAAAATTTAAGGAGAATACTCGGTACATGATTCTCATTCGAATTATGTAAAAAAATAGGTACTTAATTTTTGACCAAATTTCCGTATAAATAAATAAAGTGTGGACACGTTCCAAGTGTGGACGCGTGCGGCGGCGTGCTGATACAACACTACGCCGCCGCCGCGTCTGTGTGAGTGTGTGTGTATACCTAATCTGTAGGGTGTTCATACGATGCGTAATTAATTACATAACTTTTGGTTAACTTTACTTAGAAGTTTATTAATATTTATGTTATATTAATTTTTATTTTGTCATATATGATCGTCAAATATCACATCCTCAAGTATCGATAGTAATTCACCAGTCACCCTGTATAATGTTTACCGATAAATAGCAAGTACGACATATAATAGATGCATATTACGGTACAAAAATCTGTTATTACAATGAAACTTGTAAGTACTAAGTATACAGTATTAGTTGTTAGGTCATATATACACTACCTGAATGAAAAGCCGTCACGTGTCTCACTAGGGAATAGCTCTTCTATTATTTTGTCTACCGTCCGCTCCGTCGTATTGAAACCTTCCACCCAGACAGCTTGGCAATGAGAACTATATTGTACATATGAAGATAAAAATAATTTGATATTAATACGTAGTAAAAATTTAAAGAAAGATTTGGTCTGAAATCAGAATTGGTTACATTATATTTTTTATGTGAACGAGCCGACAGCCTACTTGATGGGTAGTAATCACCGTCGACCATGTACATCCGCAACATCTCTGTTATTTGTTGTGGAAAAGGGAAGGGTGGGAATAAGGAAATGGCAGGAAAGGTTGGGAACAGGGAAAGGGCAACCGGCTCTCTCACTCAGTATACAAAAAGCAACCAATAAAGACTACTTCACGCCGATCTTCTGTGAGAGGGTGGTACTTCCCCGGTCGAGCCAGCACATGTTCGAGCTGTAGTAACTCACCACAGCTAGGCTCTACCACCTAAATTAATATCTAAAAGCTTTTTGTACAGATATAATTTTATATATAGAGGAGCCTCAACAGTGCTTGGGACTTGCGATCCAGGTGTAGGTTTGGGTTAATATAGGAAGAATTTTGAAATATGTAATACTTTATTATCACTCTCACTATTGCTAGATATAAGAATTCTTTGACGCTTTTTGAACGTCGTTAATGAACGCTGAGGTAGAGTTATTATATTTATGTACTTTTCTGATAGTAGCTACCTAACAATATTAAAAGCGAATATCACAAGTGATGAGCTAACAGCAGTATTACAAAAAAAAATAATCTTCTGTCTACTAATTCAATGACAATTGATACTTTTCTCGATATTAGGGTTCAGTTGGATTTATTTTAGTGACTATTTCCTATACATATTGTATGGCCTAAGCTTTGCGAGTACTAGTATACTTTAGTTATCAATAAAACTATATTAAATCTCGGCTTTAAGATATCATATCACAGCTCCACAAGCAAGTGGCATACTCTGCTCCATATAAAGTCCTAGAAAGAACATAAATCTGTATTAATGTTTATATTAAGTCCATTGTATTTCTTACATTTTAGCGACGTGCATGAGGGCGGTTTTCATGACCACGCGGAAGGCGGCCGCTGCTGAGCTGTAAGGGCCGTGACTCTTTACAAACCACGACCACACGATGGTACCACCAGCTACCACGTGGGATGATAAAGATTCTAAGGACTGTGATGAAAAATATGTTGATAAAGCAATATTATATAATTTATATTTAAGATAAATTATAGGCTGTAATTAACAAGTTTATTGAGGTGAAATTTGTCATGCAACTTTTAATAAGGTTGCGTTAAACGTTTAACGTTCTTGGGGGCTCTAAAAAGAGTGAGAATGAATGCGTGGCGTTCGAAAGTTCGCAATCAAATTGTGACTTATAAGTAATGTTAATAAATTTTGTCTTAAACAGACACTTTATGTCCTTTTTTTGTTTGATTCCAACATAACGAAGTTTAACTTCTTCCGCGCGGAGAGTCTCCACGGACAAATACTTTGTAATATTGTCAAACTAAAAATAATATATTCAATATATATGTATGTACATATATTCTCACCTGTAGGTTTTTATAGACGTCTTCAGTGACCAGCTGTGTAAGTCCGTCTAGTCCGTCTAGTCCGTCCTTACAGTCCGCCCCGATCACAACCAGACAGTCAATGTTTTTCCCATTTCCACAATTCGTCGTGAACACGGAACACCCTCGCTCCGTGAGACGCGCGTGTAGTTGTCGACCCAGTACACTAGTAGTATCCGTTATCTGTGAATTTAACATCTATGTATTTTATATTATTCAAAACAATACGAATTGAATCGTTAAATATTGCTACGAAATAAAATCGTCTTATATGTGATAATAAATATAACTACAATTTACAGTATGTAAATAAACCATTAGTTTTAATCAATCAATCGAATAAAGGCCTCCCATAATGTTTTTGATTCAGTTTGTTGAATATAACGCATTTAAACCATTTTTTTCCCTAATTCGTTCCATATAATTTAATTAGCAGAAGTTTATTGACAACTTTGATAAGTTGAATGTAGAAATCATAATAGTAGGAGAGCTCACGATAATGAATGCAGATTGACTCTAGCGTTTGAGAGACTTCTATAGTTGTAAAGCTCGAATTTTAAGGGTAGGTTCCATTCAAATAACCCACCCTTACCAGTGATACTGCATAACCCAATAGGGTTAAAATCATTAAAGAAGGGGAGAAAACAAAGGTTATTTGAGAGAAAGAAAAAAACACATACAATATTGGGTTAGGAGGTATAAACTATCAAACATGTAAAAAATTCACGATAGCAGTAATATAATAACAAAACATTTTGGAAGCAAAATTATTCGTACAGTCGTTCTACGTGAACCTATAAAATGCTTTCATTCAATTATGAAAATTTGAATATGACTCAAATTGGGCATCATTGTGGGATGTGCAAAGAACTTAACTCTTTTAATTACTCGAGTGAACAAGATTCATACATATACAGGGTGACTGGTGAATTACTATCGATACTTGAGGACGTGATATTTGACGATCATATATGACAAAATAAAAATTAATATAACATAAATATTAATAAACTTCTAAGTAAAGTTAACCAAAAGTTATGTAATTAATTACGCATCGTGTGAACACCCTACAGATTAGGTATACACACACTCACACATACACGAGTGGCGGTGGAGTGTTGTACCAGCACGCCGCCGCACGCGTTCACACTTGGAACACTTGGAACGTGTCAACACTTTATTTATTTATACGGATATTTGGTCAAAAATTAAGTACCTATTTTTTTTACATAATTCGAATGAGAATCATGTACCGAGTATGCTCCTTAAATATTGATAGTAACTCACCAGTCACCCTGTATATTACACCGTAGTTTGTACGTGTTTATGTGACGAAACTCCTTCTAAGTTATTGGACGGATTTGAAATATTTAGTGAATTTGGATGGCACCCAGATGATACACTAAACTAATTGAAAAACTTGGGAAATAGCGCGTCTACAAAGTATTAGTATCTCAAATAAAATAAATATTAATAAAAAAAAAATTAGATTTTGTCGACAATTAAAAATATGGTTTCTCGTTTTTAGAGAACCGGTGGTAGGCTCGGTAGATAATTTTGTATAAATTTTTTTTGGATATAATTTTAATGATTCTAATGCAAATTTAATTGTGTTTTTTGCAAAGTATACAGTTTTAACATAAAAACACACTTTACATATGTTAATATCACTCAAAGTAAATATTTATGAATCTTGACCCACATAACTTATATTAAAAAATGAGACAAAAAGTTGTAAATTCGTTTTTTGTTTTGTATGTTACGAGTATATACTGTTAGAACTGGGGCTTCGACACTCCCGGGAAACTACTTGGAAATACGTTGTTCACAATAATAATATTTTTGAAGTCTAAATTATGTTACTTCGCTTTTATTTTGCTTTTGAGAGAAATCGCATTATATATTTTTCGCAGAATTGAGTTTTTTTAAAAAATCGCAAGGCTTTTTACCGCTTTGTTACTCTCAAATTGTCAGATTAATAGATAATATACTTTTAAGAAATTACTTCATATCCACTTTTTTACTAACTTAAGCCTCTATATTTACCGAGGCCATATATCTAGGGCTCAAATTTGGTGGTCAATACTTGATAGGGTACGAGGAACCCCCAGCCCTCCCTTAAATAATCAGCTTCGCCTTAATTAATCCGAATCCCCATTTAGGCTCCCTAACTATAAGAACACTAAAACCAAATTACAAACTGACAAAAATCATGTCATTTTTGTAACGCTCCATTTATCCCACACTTTAAGTCTTAACTGATTTTAATGGAATTTATTACTCATTAAAATTAAGTTTAATTAAATACAAATTTGTATCGAGTATCTTACGAAGACATTTTTGATGGGTCTATAGATCCTCTTTCTTGTGGTGAGTTTCTTCCTGGCAGTGTAAGCCAGGAGTGCTGATGTAGCCAACAGGAGCGTCCCTCCTTCTAAGGTAGCGAGCAGCCGCCACGCTAGACCTGCACCCGCTTCAACACCCGACATCACCTACAAATATACATTAATTTCTGTACTAGCTTTACTCACGGAATTATATGAAATAAACTTTGCACCTATTAATAATCATCTTTTTAGTTTGAAAAAGCAAACAGATTATAAGGAAGGAGGATATATTATGTTATCTGCATATACAGGGTGACTGGTGAATTACTATCGATATTTGAGGACGTGATATTTGACGATCATATATGACAAAATAAAAATTAATATAACATAAATATTAATAAACTTCTAAGTAAAGTTAACCAAAAGTTATGTTATTAATTACGCATCGTGTGAACACCCTACAGATTAAGTATACACACACACACATACGCGTGCGGCGGCGTGGTGTTGTATCAGCACGCCGCCGCACGCGTCCACACTTGGAACACTTGGAACGTGTCCACACTTTATTTATTTATACGGAAATTTGGTCAAAAATTAAGTACCTATTTTTTTTACATAATTCGAATGAGAATCATGTACCGAGTATTCTCCTTAAATATTGATAGTGATTCACCAGTCACCCTGTATAAAAATAAATCCCTTTTTTTCTTGGTCACGGCATCACATATGAATGGCTTAAGTGATTTCACGAATTCTTTTTTTGTTGTATTTGTTTTTATTAAGAGAAGGTTCAGATGTATTAAAAAAGTTCTTATGCATTTAAATATCCTAATTGAAGTATGCAAGTATTCTTAAATCTTAAGAAGAGAAAAACTTATAATTGTAATGGTAAATACTTACCTGTTCATATTAACCAGTTACAATCAACAGAGTTAGATATATATGACTTTAATGGAAGATCTTCCATTGGAATAAAAAATATTAAGTAAGTATAGCAATAACAGAAGTAGGTTCATTTAGAACGTACATTAAGAACTAATTCAACGGTTACATAAATTTGGAGCTTAGATCATGATAAATGGAATAGCATCAATTATAATGTCTTATTTAGTCTTAAAATTAATACATGTTTTTGTAATAAAACAAGAGGAGACATTTAGTTGTAGTTAATATTTTCTCGAGAGCATTCAGACCTTTTACCTAATTGGACTCAAATTCTAAAATTTAATTCTTTTCTTGGCCACTCAAAGTATCATAGCTATTGTAACATCCGTACGAAATATACAAAAAATATATATATAATTCCCTCTTATTATGTGTTTATTATATATTATTATAAATAAAACGATCAGTGTTGATAATTATAATGGCTGGCTGGCGGTTACAGGACTTGGGTAACATTGATATCGTTATTACTCGGCATTTACACTTTACGAAACATTCGCTTTTGTTATCTAGATGTTACCACATAATACTGTTTATACGCGAATTGAATTTATTTTAGATACTATGTTTCACAAGTCTGTGGTGGCCTAGTGGTTAAAGGCCCACCTCTCGTGCACGAGGGCGCGGGTTCAATCCTGGCAAGTACTTTCTGAGAGTATTTAGACACCACTAACAGACGGTGAAGGAAAACATTTAGGAAACCTGGACTTACAATTTCACAATTATAAATTTGAAGTCACCAATCATTCTTGAGCAGCGTGGTGATTAATGCTCAAACCTTCTCCATGTGAGAAAGAGGGCTTTACTCAGCAGTGGGCTCTGATAGGCAGATGACGACGACTATGTTCACTTATTATCAACTAGAGTCTACACCAATAATTGCTAACTTTGATAGATTTGAATTGAAAACAATAGTGGTATTTAAAAAAACACGCGAAACAATATAGAACCTTATTTCTTACTTCAGAACAATTGTAATGGAATTAAACAAAAAAAATAAAAAAAAAACGAACAAAAATTATGTCTCGTTGAAGAGATACTTCCCAACAATGGATATGTTACTATGAATAAGTAAGATCTTTTTTATATATAATAATATATAATATTTTTCAAAAGAATAATGTCGACAATTGAATTGACGTAGGGTACCCGTAGATTACTTTATAATTATACCTACAGAACATAATAGCTTGCCGTAAAAACAATATGACGCAGAGAAAAATAGAAAAAAAGCTTGACTGTCATTAGAAAAACGATGTCTTATAGAAGTTATTAACGGTTTAAACTATTGAAATTAAAGTAGGAATGATTACTATTAATAAAAAATATTTATGTAGCAACCTTTTATATTTTTTTTTAAGCAATGATATTTAAAAATAGTCTAAGTACCTAGTATAATTTTGTATAGAAAGGCCGATAAAACAGAATCTGCAATAATTTCAATTTTTCAATTTTTCATCTGCCTTAAATGTTGTGAATAGTTTTGGCTAATTTTTTTTACGACCGCCCGCCTGCCTGACATCAACCCTCTTTGGGAATGCATTAATCGGTGATGTCTAAATACCCTTAGAAAGTACATATGACTCGGAAAAAACACATTGGTACTTGCCAGGATCTAACCCGCGAACTCATACATGAGATGCGGACCTTTTAACCACTAGACCACCACTGACTGTAATCCTTTAAAATATATATATGTAGTTAAAATCCTAGTCCTTGGTACATTCTACTACAAATTCTTCCATTACTATTATTTGACATGGATATTAAAGTTATCGAGGTTAATTAAGATTATTATATCTTACCCAATATTCTGAAGGAGTGTATTGTAAACTATAATTAGGAAGTTTTTGCATCGTTACATGAAACAGATAGTTTCAAGTCTTTCATTAATACCTATTACTTAGAAACTGATGATGATTAAATTAATGCTCTAGATTTCGCGGGGATTGAAGAGGTATAGTAGCGTTACCACAAGTTTGCTTGGTCGTACTAAACAAGAAGCATTTCAAGTACTTCGTTCATAAATCTTATGACGTGATATTATTAACCGTGGATTACGAAATTATTACTTTTAAAGCTACGTATGTAGTTTGAATATACAAATTTGGAGTAAGCTTACAGATAGAAATACGGCGGCTGCTAGATATACATATATTATTCTTTATTTACCTACTAAATAATATTTTTTCCAATGATAAAATATTTGTAATTATATTGTAAAATTTAAAACATTTTCGTATATAGTTATGTAAGAAGAATGTTATGATATTAATTCGTGACAGAAATGGTTAAGTGAAAATATACCCTAAGTATATTAAGTAATTCTGTCTAGCTTTTGAAAGACTCAAAAGGAGTTTTTCTTGTTCGAATACATTTAAGAAGATGATTCTTGAAGTAAAGAAAAACCCTTATAATTTTAAAACATTTGTGAAGGCTTTAAAAAATAACATTATATGATCTAAATAAAACTAATATTTTTGTATTACTAAGGGTTTTTTTTAATTATATTTAACTATCCACTAACGACGTTTCGTCAGGAATATGTAATTTAAAAACGCGTAAAAAATCCAAAAATATTACTTTTATTTTAATGAATACTCGCAAGTCTTAGATATAGTTGTTTTTTTTATTAATCTGTGGCAACATTAACACTGATTTAGTCTATTACTTAATATCATTATGTAAGTTTTTATGACAGTCTGTCAAAAACTTGAATCGTTTTTTTTATCAGTAACTAGTGTCCGAGATCTTAATTTTCGTTATGATGAAAATGTATGTACAAAGTATGTATGTGTTGGACGCATTTACAAGACGTAATGTCTCTATTGGGTAACAGTGTTTGAGATAAAATTTTAAATGGACATGTTGATGAATATAAGGAAAAAAACAGTTTAACAGTTTGTCCTTAGAGACCTTTTTATTTAAACCGTTTTCAGGTCAAAAAGGATAGCTTTTTATATGATTTTTGATATATTTAATAATAAAACGCCCAAAAAAGATATTTTCTGAATTAAATTTAATACATTTTAAATATTTTTTTTTGTTTTATGTTTAGTTTAGTGTCATATTATGTAACTAAAGTTTTTTATATTATACCCAGTAAATTAAACTGTTAACTCGGCGTTAAATTTAGTAAGAAATATAGGAATCAAGGAATACCTACTCTGAAAAGGCATAGATTCCTAATTTATTGCTTTTTTCTTGGTGGTTGGATTCATGATTCATCCTACGCTTTTCTGAGTTATAACATGATTCATACTTAATTAACGGGTTATCCAATACTAAAATCAACAAAAAGTCTTAATAGGTGTGTATATTTTGTTATATATTTCAAGTGTCTCTATATTATCCAGAATTCCTATTCGTTCAGAAATTTCCAAACCAACATTCATTGTTACTTAATTCTACGTTATATAGTGTTGCTATAATGGAAAATTCAAAAATATTTTATTAATTTACATTTTTAATATAACTACCACGTATCTGGTAACACTAGAACCAAGATCACACTATCCTTGATATGCTCTATATTTTGTCTGTAAGGTTAACACTTCGTATTTTCATTTCAAATACTCAGGTTACTTAAGTTCAATTTAATTATAACCGTATACAACCTTCACGGTCGGATGCTCACGGTTTTGCAGATACGAGTAAACAATAAAACAGATAGATGTTAATTCACAATTGCTATAATTTTATATCTGTTCCTGGATATGACGTCATAGTTAAGTATTACATACAACTACACAATACATCCGTACTATGAGTTCTCATCGTCAAACCAAACTGATAGTTACAAGTATTAGATTATTATACCTACATTTTAATTATTACTAGAAGACCCGGCGAACATCGTATCGCTCTATAATCAAGAAATATCTGTAACTTTTTTTCAATTTATATTTTTGAAGTTTACCTTTAAGCCATAAATCTCCGTGTTTTGAAGTGCGACAGAATGATTGACATATTAGTTAGTTGTCAAATCTAATGTCAAAAAAAAAATCGTTTGTATGGGAAATAGAAAAAAGCTGTTTTTAGGGTTTTTCCGGAAATTAATAAAAAATTTTTAGCTTTTAAACCTTCCCTGAACCTCTACGAACATTTCAAGACTAAGATAAGATAAATCCGTTCAGCTGTTCTCGACTTTTAGCGAGACTAAAGAACAGCAATCCATTTTTATATATATATATATAGATATAGATATATAG